GGCGCATGCACGACTTCATTGCTATATATGATTGAAACCGTACTATTATGTTAATGTATAAACATAGACATTCTATGTTGACTGTGGAAATACTATGATTTCACTGTTTATAAATTTTATTTAAAATAATCCACGAGATGTAGCTAAATGTCAACGAAAACCAGTTAAACTTTTCGATGCTCTGTTTGAAGGGACATAACTTTTATAAAAATAAATGCGTACACGTATTTGACTCTTTTTTTTCAATAGCATGTTAACAGCGCAACCCGTTCTTAATATGATCTTTACACGAATTCAAATAATATTTTTTATAAATCTTGGTAGATTAAGTTGGTTTATTAAACTATATGAATGAATGAATGAACGAACGAACGAACGAACGAACGAACGAACGAACGAACGAACGAACGAACGAACGAACGAACGAACGAATGAATGAACCACTTTATATGACATAACAAAAATCCCTTTTCATACTGTTCGATAGGTCACATAAAAATTAAGATAAAGTGGAGCGGTGGCCTAAGGGGAGCCGTGGCCTTAAGGCTCCGTTGGCCTAGTGGTTAAGGTGTCTGCATCTCAACCCAGGGATAATGGGTTCGGCCTAATCGGGTCATGACCATGTCTAGTACTGGTTGGTCGAAAGTTTTTAAATACATTTTCGAAATTTTCATGAAAGTTAACAAGAATCTGAAGACATGCTGCTTTAACGCCAAAATAGCATGTGCAGGGTCATTTAGCAGGGACGTAATCATCTGACTCTCCGAGCAGGGCACTAATCACCTTATTGCCTGGGGGAGGGGCGGGGTTGCATAGCATGCACATACTTATATTTCACATCTAAAATTTGGTTGATGAACAAAAATTTATCATTATGCGACATGTCAAGTGGTTTCACATATTTCTCTTGCTGACAATTATTTGTCCATGTCAACAAAGTGCCGTGTTAGGGACGAGAGGTCCGTTTGCTAAGTTGACCATCCCAACCAGAGTGTTGCTATACGGTGGTGTTAAATGATTCAACTAAATTCAACCCATTTGCTTTTTGTTCACTTCTTATTTGTATATTTGACAATAAAATATGTTTTAACTAATAATTCAATTATTTTCTACCACAAGACTTCGAAACTCATCATTGCACGTTTCCAAGCCCACCCGACCGAAATAAGATGTCAATTTAGACCACTACAAAAATATGAACATTTGTGTTGTGTATCTGTTACCACGAATATTTAGAAAGAATATTATTTAAAGTGTAAGAGCATCGCAAAGGCCTGAATCTAAATTTGTTTGAGTAATCAAAAATAATTTTTCAATTAGGGTAGAGTCCCATTCAAGAAATTTGTCTGAAAAATGTTTTATCTTAATTAACTTTATGCTCAAAGGTGGCAAAGTGTATGATTCATAAAACCTTTTTATACGTGTACTGCCAGATGTAGAGGCATAGATAGTATTTATCCACAAAAAGATATGTGTTTTCCTTTTCCTTAGTCTAATTAAAGGAAGCGACACCCGGGACAGGGGCAATTTTGACCGGAGGGAACTTTTGTAGAAATCTACAAATGGGGGAATTTCTCACACTCTACTGATAAGCGGAAGTAGTAAATAAGAGGTATACAAACTACAGCCACTTAATGTAAACACAGAGATTACTAAGAAAGTTTCGGAGTACTTTGACTGGTCAGTTGTAAAATTCAAGAAATTATTAATTAAATAATTACCAGAGGGGCTTCAACAGCAGTAAGAAAAAAATATTTAATATTAAGGTAATATATAACATATTGATTATATTATATTAAATCTTAAGCATATAAATTGCTTAGTTTTCAGCTGTAGAATGTAGACAATGTAGACTAAATAACAGTATTGAAGAAATAATCAACACTTTTCCTGTTAAGACTTTTAAAATATAATGCATTTACATACATGTACATGATATTTAAGTAGAACTTTAAGTGAATTATACAATGTGTTTGATATAATCTATTTTGGTATATTTGTAAATTTATGATGCTTCAAATAAATATAATCATATAGAGTGTATTGCTTCAAACTTGTTTTTTACTAAATAAAAATGCATCTTGTTACATCATTTCTACAGATTAGAGGCGTATGACAGAAATTTAGACTTTAAGGGAGAAACTATTCTGCTACCCGAACCATTGGACACTGACTGGCCAGAGGGCTTCCACCAATTGCAGTTAGAACACAGAATTCTTCTGCCAAAACTGTCAAGGCCACAGATTGATGGCTATTTCAAATACAGAGACTGGACACGGACAAGAACATCACTTCAGATATCAAGGCTTTACAAAAGGGACAGTTGCTGTACAACAGTAAAAGAATTAGAGCATGTAGCATTTGAGTAAAAGGACAAGACTTGTTTTTCACGGATATAATTTCAGCAGCAATGAGGCATAATGTAACATATAGCTACACGCTCAAACTTCTTAAAGGAAATAGGGAAGTTTTAAATAGTCACTGTGAGTGCCCTGCTGGTAAAGGACCGCATGGTACATGCGAACACCTTGCTGCCATGCTGATTATGCTGTTCGAGTTTGTTTCTGTCAATAACCCTAATCTGCAAAGGACATGTACTGAAATATTGCAGACATTCCACAAGCCAAAGAAACAGTCGAGTATCTGCCAGGAAACAGACAAACAAATGAATTTCAGGATCCAAGACCCCCGCTTTCAGGAATTGCGCAAACTACAGGATCATGTGAGGAACGCAGTTTTTAATTATTGTTCAAAAACGTCTAAAGACTTAGCCATCCGCTACATATGAGGCAAAGCAGATATACAGACCGCAGGGATGATGACTACCTCCCCAGACCACTGTTGCAACAGTGGGTAGACACCGTCCTACACATTAGGCCGGAACAGAGTCACAATAGAACGGAGCAGACAACCACGCATGGAGGGAGCAACGTCTTTGGAGAGTTACTGCATCCAGATTTGGAGAATTTTGCAAGTCTTTCATGACTTCTTCGAATCTTCATAGTAAACCTATAATACATGGCAAGCAGTATGAAGACACGGCACGTAAGAAATTTGAAGCTGAAAACGGGGCTCACAGTGCAACGTTGTGGACCGTACATTTGCCATCTATAACCGTATTTAGCCTGCACACCTGATGGCGTCATCAGTGGCACTACGATTATAGAAATTATATGTCCATACAGTGGGAGAAACATATTCGTTAAACCTGGAAAATTATATCCTTCCTTGGAATATGACTCACAGGATGACATTGTGTTAAGACAAACCAGCAACTATTACTATCAGATTCAAAGACAGTTGTATATCAGTAAAAGAAAGTATTGCTACTTCTTCATTCATACATTATACATTCAAGGACATGGTGATTCAAACGGTTGAACTTGACAATGATAATCGTGAACGCAGTTTAATACCAAAATTAACACTGTTCTATGAGAAATATTTAAGACCATATATAGCGGATCACTACTGATACAAAACAAGTAAGCTCAATTTAACTCACTTTATTACATGTATTAAGGAAAGATGTATAAAGTATGTGCATTAAATCGTGACATAATCATGAGAATGTGTGTGTCACATCACTTTATATGTCTTTATTTTTTATTGAGTATCAACTAAGTATTTTACGATTCATGATATTCCATTCTAGTGTGTCGGATTTCTTAACATTTTCTACAATCAAGCTAGTTTGTCAACAATGCTTTTTTCGAAAATTTAGAATAATGAAATGGTGACCATAACTTCATTTTATTACCATGCACACTCTTCTTTACTGCTACTCTCCAATTATTCTTTAATCCTTTGTCATTCAGAAAATGAAACCCTCCAAACTCATTACAAAGTGAAACACAACAGTAATACACCATTTCTAAGCAATTTACTTTGCAACATAAACCTTTATAAGCTTCTTAATTAGATTAGGTCAGTTGATTACATACTCTGCATTCTCCCATTGAAATTCAATGTAAATCAGCTGTACACAGAGATAGCCAGTATACAGGTGTATATCTCTTATTTGTCAGGGGCGCTGCAGAGATAACTAGAACTCTCCCATTGATGCTATATGCGAAATATCTAAGCTCTGCATGGCTTTGTAGTTTCACACAATAACACGTAAATGTGTTTTTCTTAAATCAAGTGATCCCGGGGTGTGCCAATTTTGACCACGGGGGTAGGGGGGTGATTAAAATCAAATTTTGCAGACATTCACAAGGTAAATGCTACATACTAAGTTTAATCTTAGCTCTTGGCATTGTAGTTTGCATGCCAAATATCTCAGCCCTGTTGCATCGTAGTTTCAAGGTGTGTTTTTCCTATACAAGTCTATATAAATCAAGTAGACCCTAGAACGTGGCCAATATTAAATCAAGGGGCATTACTCATATCAGTTTCTTAAAGGTCAATTCCTAAATATCTAAGCTCTAGACATTGAAGTCTTAAATGTGTTTTCCTGTACAATTTAAGTAATCCTGGGATGGGAACAATTTTGATCTCGGGAATCCTGAACATTTATGTGTTCTGCACACCGTCTCGTTATTGAGTAATATTTCTGCCAGAAAGTTTTAATTTCTTTCTATCGGTCCCAATGATAGAGTGGACATAAAATATGAAATTGAGAAGGGAAAGTCAAATATGCGCTTTGCATATGGTTAACATTAATGCCAAGCTGTGTCAATTTCCTTCCACCGGTTCAAGATACATATCGGACATGAAAACTGCTTATAGACGGACGGACGACTAGGTGCATAACATATGCCTTAATATTTCCAAGTGTATAAACAATGAAATTAAGTTATTTTCATATTCCTATGGACAATTTTTGAAAGATTTGCAGTATAAAATGTCCAAGGCTTCTTTGTGTATAGTTTTAGCACCTAATAAAGAATTATATATTAATTTTCATGACGGCCATCCTACGTAAGAAAAATGTTATCATTTACATACTCGGGCAATTAAAAAATATTCCTACTTCAAGAAAATCAAACAGAACAAAATTTTCACGAAGTTCACAATGTAGTTTTTATTTTCCAAAATGAGACATGGACAAATATTTACAAATATTGATGGTGAAATTCAACTCATAACATGAAGCATCAAATAACTAAACTCGCCGCACATGTTTTATAAACACCTCTTTAACATTTCAGTGATGCTTTCTTCAAAGCATGATTAGTCACATAACATAGAAATAAATCAGTATAAAGTAAACTACAAATGTTCAGTTACAAACTAACCTTCTATTCGTTAATGAAAAATGAATTTGTTTTAACAAATAATGATATAATATACAGAAAATAAATAAATATGAAAGTGAGGCAGACACACGTTACTCAATTTAACAAGGAAATGAGCAGAAAAAAAAACCTCAAAAATTCATTCCAAATGGTCAAAAACGCAACCATTTTCTTTATAAACTATTTTTTTTTGTCACTGAGAATGTAAAGTAAAGTCAAGACAATTTTTTCAGAGTTAACACTGAATGGTTGCACTTTGAACATGGCTCTTCTCCTCAAGCAGCATCAAAGTCCGTCTACAACTTTGTACAGATTTTTTATCACCCAAAACTTCATAAAGACGGCTAGCCTCTGATATGAGCGTGGCACGATCCCCTGGACTTGCCATCAGGGACTCTGGAAGGTGGCGTCCAGCCATCAGTAGGGCTGTTAGCCTGTTCTCTATCCGGCGTCTCCCCATCTGATTCTTTCTGGATAATTCTGTAAAATAAAAAAATTAAACACCTCTGTTAATTCATTTTCAAAGAAATAGTCCACACAAAAACAAACATGTATATCTAGTATTCATGTGATATTAGTTAAGTTATTGGAAATGTGCTTAACAGTCTTAATAATTACCTGCAGAAATACAACACAAAACTATGTAGCCACATTCATGATTTAAACTTGTAGGTCTTATTATAGTTTAACATCAAAGAGTGTCATCAATTCATTAATGAAAAACAAAAAAATTGCCACATATGAACATTTACAGCACAAGTAGGCACCTAGGTAGAAGTACCAACTCGACTTTAATTACCAAGAAAAGAAAAGTAACACAAAGAAAATACTTAAATATGTAGGAAAGTATCTGAACTAATAAAAGTAAAGGCTTTTAAGTTTATTGTCAAAGTTTTACATAATTAAATAAATGATTTAGGAGTTCAACACTATGGAATACAGAATTCTTCAGTGTTTTTCCCCATACAAATTGTTATATTCGATATTAAACAAGATTTAATTCAACAAACCTTTCTCTTCCCTGGATACCCTACGTCTGATAATACTTCTGTCCAACAATTGTTGGGTGCGTGCTGGGTTGGCTCCAGCCATCATGCGACCTGTAGCCTCATGTAAAAATACCTGAAATGAACAGTAAACAATATAGCTATAAATACAATTTCAGATTATTTGTGGAATGTTATTTTGCAATCTAATCTATAAACACATCATTTCCAATAAAATAGATTCAAGGAACGAAAAAAGAGTGTAAATTGGAACAATGTAGCATGCTCTTAAAAGTTGTTGTGATTTATAATTAAAACAGTTATTCTAACAAGAGATGTCAGTAGGACAGCATGCTCAACTATTCTGTGCTCCATAATAAAAGAAGAGCCTTGCTTATGATGAATTTTTCAAGTTCAAAAAGGGTCATAATTCTGTCAAAATCCATATTAGAGTTACAGGCCTTGGATAGTGACTGCCTATTATCCTCTCAAATAAGTTTAATAAGTATCAATCAAATCCCTTGTGTAGTTTTGCACACAAAAACTTTACAGATGCCTGGGTGAGTACAATAGCTCTCCCTATTCTTCAAATAATCGCGCTTAAGTAGACATTTTTGACAATTTCAAGTGATTAAAATCATAAGTACTTATATACATTTTAAGTATGTATCTAATACAAAAGGAAATTTAATTCACATTAGACACATTGTCATATACACATACCCTGGGCAATGCAGATTTATTATCATGTGCCAGTTTTCTGAGGCTGGTAAGGTCTTGCTGGAATGCTATCAGTTCTGTTTGTGAAGCATTATCTCTCTCCCCGGTGCTCTGTTCTTTCTCCCAAATCTCTGTCCTTGTTGCCAGCAACCAATCACATACCAGCAACTGTACAGCCTGAAACAAGGGGAGATTATTTTAATTTACATGACAGCATTGGATAAAATATGTGTAATTGCCTATAAAAGAATAAATTTTTAGTGTTTTTCTTAAATTACATTTCCATCTTTTTTGTTTAGTACTACATTGTATTGATATAGATATATTAATTTTGATCAGTTGTTAATTAAATACAATCACTCCCAAAATAACTCAAGACAACTGCTCATACAATTCATTATAAAATATTTATTTAATAAAATGCTTAGGGATGTGGATAACAATAGTTCAAGGAAGATCCAGCAGTTAGCATTATTCTGGCAGAAAATTGTTAGCACTTTTATGGTGTGTCCAAACATCTTTCCTTTTGGAATTCTTGCAGGTGCTTGCTCTTTTACACTCTTCAAAGTATCCTAGACGTAGAATAAATCTCTCTCTTTTGACACTGGCAACAGGTATTTCTCCTTCTGTATCAAGACAGGCTGAAGGTCTGTTTGCTGCTATGACAAGCCCAGTTATTGCACTGCAGGAACATTGCACAGTGTGAAGGACATGCAATGCAACTACAATGCACAACCAGAATAAGTCCATCCCTGTAGTAACATTTCTGTACAATATCACTCACAATGATCTATTCTGTCCATTTCTCCTCTGTCTTTTGAAGATTCACAAACCACTTATCCGGAAATCAAATATTTTGACATGGTACATAATCAGTTTAGTTGACAAATCCAGGACTTTTTCCAATCAAAAGTTGACATCATAAAAATTCTGCATGTATCCTTGAACTATGTACCACTTATTAAATCTACCCTGACAATGTTGTTAGGAGAAAAAATTAATTTTGATCTTTACCTGTGTAATATCTGTATTTTCTCTAGCGTATGACAATTTCAGACTCTCTCTAAGAAGACGGCCAGCCCTGTCACACTGTCTGATTACAGAGTATAAGTTAGATCCCTGGTTATTACCGAGAAGTTCCTCCTGGCTCTAAATGCCAACAACACAGACTTTGGCAGAGGATCACTAAAATATGAAAACAACAATCAAATATATTTCTAAAACCAAAATTGATATTAAAAAAAATCTTTAAATATCATCTGATGTAAAAATTTAACCTGCCTTACATCATTTTCCACATGTGTGCCTTTATTGCACTTTTAACGAGTCACTGTTGTAATAATTTAATTTCTCATATAAATAAATTCTCACTTTATGTTTTTTTACATTTTGACACTGTATGAAATTGCAGTTATTTAATACTAACTCAGAGTGTTGTAGTTTCTTCGGGAAAGAGTCTACCATAGGAAAGCTACGTTCAGCATTTTCATCATCACCAATCAACCAGTAAACTGCTACAGATACAACTGCTGCCCACCAGGCTGAGGACTCATCCATCTCTGAAATAATAGATATATCAAGTTACAGTTAATATCCTCCTCTTCAAACAAGGGGGCAATTATACCCAATGCGCTCACCCGAGGACAGAATAGTACAAAGTTCTCAATTGTAACGAGTTAGACAAGATCTTAATGCAATCTAAACCTTTGAATGACAATAGGGGTCATCTACTTAGTTTATATGCCTAACATTCCATTGTGTTTAAGAAGAATTTTGATTCTTGGCATTACCAATAGGGAAACCTACGGCCACACAGCAAGAGGGCAATTTTGACCAAAGAACAATAAATTTTGACTCAAGAACATTAGATAATCTTTCTTGTCAAAAACTTATTTGCAAACATTTTACTGAAGAACAAGAAGCTGTGTATGCTCACCTGGTATTTCCAAAGCTGTTGACAGATTAGTAACGCCTTCTTTCTTCCTGAGACATGATGCCTCTGTTAGAAGTTGCGTATAAAGTATGATCTCTGATGACTGTGATCCACCATCTAGCGAACGATTGCCAGGGGTAACTAGAGAATACAGAGATCTCTCCAACAAGTGCTCTCTAAACTGTTGGGTCACTTGTGACAATGGGTCAGCTGAAATAATAAAAATTAATGTATCAATATATGATGACTGATGCAATTTTTGCTTTAACTTCTTATACTAAGGTAAGACATAACATTTGGCTCTGCATTTTCATTATCTAACTTATATATCAGTACCTCTTGAAGTTTCATCAGATAAATTAAAGTAATGAATCTAAAATCATTTAATTAGTTCAGTACATTTCAGCAATTATTAAGAGTATGATAAAATCAAGAGTTAAAAGTCGACACTGACAAAAAGAATAAATCAAAATACTGATATTTACATTGATTTGATTATCATTGATCAATATTATTTTAGAGAGAAAGTACCTTCAGAAGGGCATGTAGTGAAAATGCTACTCTTGCAGCCAAGTTTCCAATCTTGGTCTACAAAAAATCTATGACCTTCTGGATGACACAGCCACTGTACACAAGCAGGGATCTGTTCAATACTGCGAGACATCGTGTATCTGGCACAGCTCAGGAAATATCTCTGTATTGGTAAACATGGAAAAATATGTTAACTTTGTCTAAACAAAAGGCTCTAATGTTTGTATTTATGTTGATTTCTTATAAAGTTATTAAATACTTTAAGTTACAAACTTAAATCTGCCAATCATTACAAACTTAAATCTGCCAATCATTTTTAAAATTATTCTTTACTAAGATAACTTTTTGTGGAATTTTGTTTGAACATAATTTTAATATTTAATACCAATATGACCATGTGTTAACAAAGAGGAGTATAAAATGGTACAAATACTTACAGCCATGAACTTGAATTTTCCTGTGGTTACTCGGAGAGCAGTTGAAATGTAAATTTCTGCCATAGTTGCCCCAGTAACTGATTCTCCAGCTGCCTCTGCTAGATTCACGGCACACAAACCAAGATTCAATCCCCAAATGCTACTTCCTGGTATCAGACCTATATTTTAACAAAACAATTCAGTTTCAGGAGACAATGTACTTGTACAATTTATATACTTAAACACAACACTGACATTTCTGTAGAACAATATGACTTACCTGACAATGAGCAATTAAAATTCAAGTTTATAATTACACTATTTCCCATTTATATTCTAAAATTTCAAGATTTATTAAACAGAATATTTCTCAGGACCAAAATATTTAATGCAGTGTTTTCATTCTACAAGTATTAACAAAGGGACATTGTGTTTAAACTAGCCATTTTTGAGACAATATTTCTTCAAGTTACCCTAGAAATTTAATGGACTATAATTTACCAATACACACATAATCTTGCTAAAATGATTTTAAACAGACCTGCTAAGTGTAGTTGATGGAGCTTGAAGTAAGCAATGGCAGCGTCTCTGGCAGAGTTTTTGACATCTGTTGGTTCAACCGATTTCCTTCTGATACCTCTAGCACGACAGAACAACCAACGACCAATGTAGATCTTGTGAAACACCTGTCTGAATATCTGCCATATCAAACTAGCAGCCAAGTCCAATTTTGAGGTGGGTAATGGTCGACCAAGGGTCCGTAATGCTTGTCTCCATTGATTGGCAGATGCAGAATAGTCTCCCTTTAAAATCCAAAAAAATCTTGACATTAACAAAAATGCTTTTTTTATGTTTATTCTCATTATGTCAATCTTCTAATAAATTGGATTCCTGCATGCATTTACAACAATCATCAACTTAAGATAAATGTCTGCAAATAAAGGAACAAATTTATGGAGAAACAATTGTTTTATCTTCAATTATATATAACAATTATTATATCTGAACAATTTCATCAAAAAAAAAATTTACTCTAGCAGAATCTTGTTCAGCCTGGTTCCTATGTCTCCAGTAGGCAGTTGAAGCTTCACTGTTCTTGTAAGTGACTGGTTCCCCAAAGATAAACAGTCTTGCTAACACAACTGCTACAATAACACCGTTCAGTAACCAAAGAAGCAAAGTTGGAATAAGTCCAGATCTCCACATTGACCATGAACCTAAAAATAGATCAGTATATCATCAAAAATCTACTTCTCGGATATTGTATCATTGTACATTGTAACAATTCATTTCATGAACTGATAAACAAACTTACTGCAAAGTTTTTATGATTATGGGGTTCTTCCCTTTTGTGCTGGTCATGTTCTTAGTTATATTCAAATACATATAAATTCAAGTTCTGCACCTTCAGGGCTTTTTTTCACATGTTGGGGTAAAAGCCCTGCCCTTAATTTAGGTGGAAAATTACACGGTTTATTACATGCTTTTCGGTGGTTTATAGAAATATATCAGTGAAATAAAAACTGATAATTCACTGTTTTGAATATTTGAGCCCGGTACGTTGTTTCAGTGAAATACAAGCGTTCACAATAATGGAAACCAACTTAATGACGTGACGTCGTAAATGACGTCACGTTGTATTATTATTTGGCGCCCTTTTCATTTAGTACTATGCTTAAATGTCTTTTTAAACGTTTCTTTGCATATAATAAAAAGAAAATTTGTTTAGTTTAGTGTAAGATCAAAATATATTTCACCTCGTGAACACCAAAAATTCATATTTCACTCGTGGCTGCGCCACTCGTGAAATATACCTTTTGGTGCTCACTCGGTGAAATATATTTCGATCTTACACTGAACTAAACAAATATCCTCTATATATTTGCAAAAAGGGAAGAAAAAACTTCATGTAAATTCAATTTTGGGGGAAAACTGCATGATTTTAAAGAATTTTTCAATGGAAAAGCAGCCCTATAACAGCCCCTGCTATAGAAGGACAAAAAGCCCTGACATTGAATCTTCAAATATTACTTTTAATTTATCAACATAAGTTTTAAGATTTCATAAATTTCTTGACATACCTACATCCACTTCTTCCATCCCTTGTAACTGTCTTCCACCAAAGTCTGTCTGGTATGAAGCAGAGCCTTGTACACCACTGGCATCAAATATAGCACCAAATGGATTGAATGCCAAGACACCCAACATGAATACACACAGAGTAAATCTTGTCTTGTCTGCCATACCACTATTTGAAAAACTGGACTGGGAGTCTAAAATTATTAATCATGTTCAAATTATCAATCTTGACATTTGAGTATCATCATCATGGAACATTAAAATCCACAGTAACTTGAAAAAAAATATCAAATTTTTGTTAATTTTTAAAATCTAAGAAACTAAGAACTTAAAAGTACAAAATGTAGGTATAAAACTTTGCAAGCATGTTCAAAGTTTCAAATAAAAATTTTACAATTTTTAGACACATTCTAATTCTTTTAACAGTCATTAATGCACAACGATTGATTTAGACACATTCTAATTCTTTTAACAGTCATTAATGCACAACGATTGATTTTCATTTTGATACACATCAAACTCGACTAACTCACCCATTTCATCATAGACAGGACTTCCAGGTGAAGAATCACTATCACTGCTCATGTCGGAACTGGGCGGAGTCATCATACCCAAGTCCTCTGTAGTGTCCTTTGACAACAACAACAACTCCTGTAAATCTGTTACAAAATGCCATACATATTAGAAAGAAAAACTCATGTACCATACTGAATAAATTTTTTAAAAAACCACTCTTACCATATCAATTAGCATCTTAAAATTAACAGTATGAGCTTAATTTAAAACTCTAGAACTCTAATTAAAAACTTTAGCATTTTCATTTTTTTTACCCAGCACCAGTTATAACAAATAAAAGTAATGAAAACTTCATTTAATTTTTATTTACTGAAATAGTAATACAGTTGCAATTATTTATATTGCTTTAATATTTTGCACGAAAACAAGTATATTATATGTACTTTGTTTCTTTGCTGCCATTTTCAGCTGTAAATTTTCTCTTTTCAATCTCTCATTTTGGCTGAGGAGATAACGGATGTAATCTATAGCTTTCCTTAATATTGCAGACTTGTTTAACTGAAAGATATAAAGAAAAACTGATTATAATGTGTCAAGTCGATTATCCTAATACAGATGCTGTACAGAAAGTTTACTTTGAATAAAATCCCTGTTCCTCCTCCCTCCAGTCCTGTCCTGTCCATGTTGTCGACCATTGCTGCTAAAGGACACCTAGTTATTGCACTGCAGGAACATTGCACAGAGTAACATACATGCAATGCAACTACAATGCACAACCAAGCAATGCCATCTCTTCATTCTTCCAACATCATCTTCACACTGTCTGAGTGTCTGTTGTCTGTGATGTAAACCACTAACCTACAGCTAGGCTAGTAATTCCAAATTCTGGTTGTTTATACACCACACCAAGTGATGATTGTTTGTATATTATAACTGAATATGTTCAAAAGAAAAGAAAACAAAAAAGTTGATTTCAACATAAAAAGGTAAAGCATCTGAAAATTTCAATTCATCAGTCAAATTTTCTCAATATCATGTTTGTGTCATAAACAGCTCAATATTATTTTATTATTTATTTTGTAAAATAAACTTTTATGAAATAATCTATCAGGGCTTGCCTTAAAAATCAAAAGTTTACAAATAAATAAAGTGAAAATATTTCTCACCTTAGCTTCTGTTCCTGCGACCAAATCTTTCAATTCTGTAATCTTGTCATTGATGCTTAATCTGTAACGCTTTTCTATAGCATTGTGTGAAGTTCTCTTCTCTCCCTTTACAGGTTTCCCCTCATTCTTTATCTGATTCAATCTATTTATAGGCACCTTTTCATTTGACCTATCTACCATCTGAATTGGAATATTTGTTGTTACAATAGTACTGCCACTGGTCACAATATTCTGAATGGGTCGTACTGCTGACGTTTTCGTAACCTGCTGTGAATGTATCTGAATGGGGGAGGATGAGGTGCCTTGACTAGTTTGTATTTGGATTGGTGATGGTGTCTGGATGTAAGTAGGCGATGAACTTATTTGTATGGATGATGGTGATGGAGCATTCTGGATAGAGATCGGACTGGATACCTGCACAGGGGATCCTATGTTTGATACTTGAAGCTGATTTCCACTGTTAGATTTCAACTGATTCTGTAGTTGTAGTAACTGCAACAAAGAAAAAAATCAGCAAGGTAAAAAAGTAGTTTCCTCTAGATATTCATGATTTAACCAAAATTTATTACAAAAGATAAACATGATATTTATATTTATAAAGCATGCTAGATTCAAGTGGAAGAATGGGGGAAAAAGTAATAATCACTACTTTTGATCTTAACAAAACAATCTATTGGTGCAACTTTTAATTTACAGCCCAACAACAAAATACTTTATAATTTCTTATTATACCTGTTGAAGTTGCTGCACTGTAAGACTACTGTTGCTATTCTGTTGCTGCTGCTGTGGTGGCGGTGTGGGTTGAACAACAGGAGCATTCTGTCTATTTTGATACTCCAAAAGCAACAACTTTAACTGATCTGTTGTCAGTGTTATTTTCTGTTGTTGTTGCTGCTGCTGCTGTTGTTGTTGTTGCTGCTGTTGTTGTTGCTGCTGCTGTTGTTGCTGCTGCTGCTGATATTGCTGCAATAACTGAAGCAGTTGAATTTGTTTTTGTTGGTTTTGTCTTTGTGTTGCTGCAGCTTGTAATTTAAGAGCAGCCTGTTGCAACTGTTGAGCACTGCTTAATGTTGGGTTAAGTTCTAAAGCTTGCTGAGTATTTGTATTCTGTAATGAGTTAAGAAGAGATTCTGATGTCAAGGAGAATGGGTTTGGTTCTGGCTTGACTGACTGATGTACATGAGATAGCAACAATTGTTCACCTAATTCGAAGTCAGATGGTTCATCTTTAATGTCAATTATTCCAGTGTTGTGTAACTGAGCATCTTGCAGTAACAAATCTGCTGTACTTGTTTCTGGTGCACTTTCAAACACATCTGCAGCACCCGGGCCATCTGGGCATATATACCTTACAATATCTGTAAAAAAAAAATACACTCCCAATTAAGAAATGCATAGATGATGAATGTAAATAGTTTCAATATTGTTTCAGCAACTAAAAATTTTACTTCAATTTTTGTATGATTTTAGTTCATGGTTTGTTTTATTACACCATTCTTGGAATACCTGTAGGATGACTTTGCTCTGATGAAAGCACTAAGCCTTTTTTAAGCCCCTCTTCTTTTGGTTAACTTTTGCCACTACTTTATGACATGTTGGTCTCATCATTTATTTATATGCACATAATGTGACATATACAGCTTTCAGTTTACACTGCTGCATATTTTTATGGCATAATGTTACAGTTAACATTATAAATTTTATATGGTACTTCTCTGGTCCAGCTTGAATTTAAATCCATGAACACTTTTTGAGTCTATTAGGTCTTTAGGCAAATAATTCAATGTTAATTCTTCTAACACTTTATTCAGAAGACAACCCTTTGTCAAGAGTGGCTGAAAACATGCAAGCATCCCTGCAAGCATGTTTGATTCATAAAGCCTAGTCACCTGTTACCATAGCTATATCATTTATGAAGTAAACAGATATAATTTCTAAATTGCAATGACAATACATAACAAAATGCAATAAATAAGACTTCTACAAATATATCAATAAAGCAGACCTGCATTGCATCTCAAATTCCCATAACAAGGGAGATAACCATTTTCAACGCAAAAGAACGCAAATTATCCTTTCGTTTTTTGTATTGAGTTAGTTTTTTCAGATCCTTTTTAACACGATGGCAATACATGCTGTACTTCATGCTAATTTTCAGCTAATACTTATACTCATAATTTTATTTATAAGAAGGAGCAACATTTTCAAGTTTTAACAACAGTCCGTCTGAAACATGACCGGTGAATAATCACTGCAGACAAGAGAAATAATGAATGAAACTACAAATAAAAAATATTATTAAAAACCTTACCATCAATATCATCAATGTTGCTGTTGTCAAACGAATTTGGACTCAGAAAATCGGCTCCTAAGTCAGGAAAACCATCAGCTCCGAGAGACCAACCTAGTGGATCGGCCATTATTGTTGTATGTTCTAATGACACCACAAATGAATAACCAATGAGAACGCGTCTTACGATGGGCTGATTTTACACGAGCTCATTAATGCATATGACCCCGGAAAGGATTCCCCGGTGAAGGACGTTTATTAATAAACATGTTTTGATGTTTTTACGCAGTTCCGGTGACCTATATTTATGACAAATGTTGTGTATTGACTGACACATGACAGTGAATCACATTGATATTATTGCAGAAAAAGGTGTTGATTGAATTTGTTATAAGGTAATGCATAAGACTAACTGCAGTTGTTGTTTTATTATACTGTGATATAACTTAGAATGTTGATGAGACAGAATTAATCATAAATTGAAATACTAAAAATTAATGTTCAAAAGTTGTTTTTTTGGCTATTTACCAATCTGTATAACCTTGTGACAAGGCTTGCCAACAGAGCTTAGTATTGTCCAGCTAAAGGTAACTTTTTGGAATATTTACCAGTAAAGATGTGTTAATTAACTTTGAAAGAAGACATTCTTTTAATCAGTGTTTAATTAAGTTTTCATTAGATCTGTTTGTTTTAAAATTTACTAATTTTAGCAAATTTTATCAACATATTGTTTTAAGTTATGACCAATTTTTTGTTTTTGTTTTTTAATTTTATTGTTTTCCATTTAAAATTTCTTCATTAACATTGGGGGTTAAATATAATTGTTAAAATAATGCACCAGTTACAATAATACAGTATAGTATTACTATGTATGTTCCTATTTATGATATCACGGGTTCTATATGATATCGGTATTTACTAGTTCTTGCTTCCAAAACTTTATAAGCCACTTTTTAATATTTTTGTTTTTCATCTTATGCGGCATTCACATCATGTCATAGTATATTAACGGGTACGCTGAAGACTAGGGTTTAAACGATGATCAAGTATAATCGAAAATTGATCGGTTATATAACCGATTGGCGATGATCGATTAAAAAGTTTAATAATCGATCATCGGTAATTTATTTTCTTGCTGTTACTTAAGTGACTAACTGTATTATAACAACACTCTAAATTAAAGCCAGTTTTGTTTGAAAAATTAATTTTCATTCAATTGAATATGAAAGCATACTGGTGACCATTGAGTTAATAGTGGACAATCAGGCATGCTATTTTAAAGGTATACTATGCTCAAATTTGACATTAGAAAATACTTAAAATTGCTATACCTTCTATTTGTAAATATAAAATAAACATGTTTTGACTTCACACAAAAAGAGATGTTATGTATAAAATTATTCTACACACTATAGGTGGTTGCAATATCAATATATAGTGTCATTAAAAAAAACTGGCAGTTTTGTTAAGAACAGGTCAACCAACTTAACTTGTTCCCGTACATACAGTAGTTTATTCATTCCTTTTTAGAAAGTGAGACATAATAATTTCATAGATTTTAATGAATTTATTTGATTAACATATTTTACTCAAGGATGAGCATTATAAGTATATCTTAAAACTAATTTATTTCAATTGATAAAGTGGTGGTCACATGGAAATGGAATTCTTATAAATATTAAAGCATGATATGTATTTTATACTTTTTTACTTTGTTATCATAAATGTTTCGATTATATAATCAATGATTGATCGAAAAGGGTTGTTCGATTATTTTCGATGTCAGATCGATTATGATTTTTGTCCGATTAAGAAACCCTACTGAAGACCTTAAGCTAGCTTAGGTATTTACCTTTTCTGTGACTGCTAGTTAAATTAAGCAACTCATGATGATGCTAATATTTTTAAGATGGGCACACTAAATTCATTTTCATCAGCCAATAAATTCAATTTTGTAAATAATGAATGTATTTGTGACAAGAAAATATTTTATAAAATCGTCATATTAAATTTACTACTATTTTTCTTAAGTGTATTTTTACACAGTCAATTAAAATATGTCATAATCACATATACTGACATATCATCTGTTCATATAGTTTGAATTTTATAGGAAGTTAACTGTTGGAAGTTTTTCACAACTTAATTTGAAAATTTTGACCCCTCTATTCTTCCATACTTGCATTTTTGGGGACTTCCATGATACCATAGTAACCTCCTCTGAAATTACACAAAATGGCAGACTTTGGAAATAGTTTTAAAAATGTCATTTTAATTGGATCTTTTGTAATTATTTTTTGACAAACAGTCTTGGAAAAGGTTCACTTATTAGATAGAAGAAATATCTCTTTCATGTATGATATTTATATTTGGATATTTTCCTATAAACGTTAAGTACCGTGATATCATAGAACCCTGGGCTAAACATTCTAGTTGTAACCTAAACCTGAAGGACTGTGCTGGGAAAAATGCAGGAAATATCGTAAGTTTTTACACATATATGCTACTGAGTACTGTATCACAATCTCTGTAGTATCATTATGGTGTAAACATTTGCTGTAAATCATAAGGGACCATAACCTAACCAGCATTTTGTGCTAGATAAGGAGGTGGAGAGATTACAGTCCGATTTTTATAGTGTGTACTGATGGCAACAACACTTTATTTAACACTGAATGTGTATGTACAAAGATGATACATGTACAAAAATTGCAAATGTAATATTAATACCTTTGTAACACTCATTATTTTTTCAGGAAACTTGAGACAAAAATGTCTCTGACGGTGAAGGCTTATTTAGAAAAAGATGGAAAGATAGATGGAGAGATAAGAAGATTTGCAGTCCCAGCTGATGTTTCAAGCAATTATGACTACTTAGTTAAGAAAGTAGCAGGATTTTTCCCATCACTTAGAGAAGGACATTTTTCTTTGTACTGGAAAGGTATATTTGATATTTTGTAATTCATAGTATTGAACAATATTAATCTGACTGAAGTTCAGATTTTATGTTCTAACGTGCTGTACTATTCAGGAATCAGATTGTGAGCAATATATAAATGAGTATTAATATAAAAAGACCTTTCCTATTGTAATGTTGTTATACCTTTATCATAGAACCTTTCAACATACTGATTAATTACATAATATTATATATGTGGGGGAACATATATTATACGTTTATCTTTGTCCATCTGTCATGCTTTTTGTCTTTAGACAGACAAAGCATTGGAATGTGGGACATCCAATTGTCCTCTGGACACATTTCTAGGTTTTGTAGACTTTCTTAAAAAAAATTCTTAAAATACGCATTCAGATTCATAACAAAAACTGTACTATTATTTATATCATAGTTAACAATATCTGTAATATGTTTTTTTTGTTTATCAACAGATCCAGATGGAGACATGGTTTTGTTTTCGACTGATGTAGAATTGTTAGAGGCTCTCGGATTTGTTAGTGATTCTGTCTTCAAGATTTTCATTAAAGTTAAAGGTATTTATAGATGTAGTTTTTTTATAATCTTTGTTTCATAATCATAAGAGCTTTATATTATGCCATTGAAACAATGAATTGATTCACTGCTTTGTAAAAGAAGTATATCAAAGTTTGAAATAGGGAGTTATTGTACTCTACCCGGCATAAGCATCACCATCCCACTTTGGTTATCGTTTGGTTTAAGTTTATAAAAGTATCCAAAACTACTGACGGGATTGGGTTCAAACTGCATATACACTTGTTCTCTGTGATTATTAAACATTATTTGCACAAATCCCATGTCTCTGAGTAACCTTTTAACAGAGTTATGCCCCTTTTGCTACTGTCGAGCATTGAGAAGTTTAGAGCGCACTATCTTACAGACAGCTCTTGTATAGTGCTTACAAGTTGTTATTTGTGACTTCTTAATAATTTTCTTTAAATTGCTAATTTAAAATCTAGCTTTGTAGAAGAATATACATTTTAAATTTAAATAACATGTTTTAAAAATTATTTCAGAAACAGCAGATGGCGCCAGCAGTGGAGAACCAATGGGAAGCCATGGTAAGATTCACCAGGGTATAATTTGTGATGGATGTAACGGCCCTGTGAAGGGGACCAGGTACAAATGCATGGAGTGTGAAGATTATGACCTGTGTCCCCTTTGTGAAGAAAAAGGTGCTCATCGAGGACATGATATGATGAAAATTACTATGCCAGGCCGCAATCCTTTCTATGCTGTCCCGCCACGTGGTGGACATGGTATGCAGAGACCCGGCATGGGACGTTGTGGAGGCCCAGGTGGTCATGGAGAGGTATTTACTTTTTCATGAATAAAAATCTTCATGGATAATTTAAAGCAGCATTCCTCCAGATGAGCCAAAATATTTTTCAAGAAAATCAAAATTATGAAAAATGTACTGATTTTAAAAAAAAGTATAAAGAATCAAGATTCTAGTTATAATTTACATGTTATATGCAATTTTTAACCAGGTTTTCCGAAGGAAAAAACTGGTTATTAGATTGAGGTATGTCGGCGGGCGGGCGGGCAGATGGGCGGACGGGCGTAAACAATTTCTTCTGTGCGCAACTCCTTCTACATTTCTCAACGGATTTTGACCAAACTTTCACAGAAGCTTTGTCATTAAGTGCCCTGGCGCATATTGTCGAGGTTTTGTGATTGGATAATATTTGACCTAATTATGGCCCTTTGTTTTTTTTCCTTATATAGAATATATAGTGAACAATTTCTTCTGTGCGCAACTCCTCCTACATTTCTCAACGGATTTTGACTAAACTTTCACAGAAGCTTTGTTATCAAGTGCCCTGGCGCATATTGTCGAGGTTTAGTGATTTGATAATATTTGACCTAATTTAAATTATGGCCCTTAATGTTTTTTTTCCTTATACAGAATTATCAATATATAGTGAACAAATTCTTCTGTGCTGAACTCGTCCTAAATTTCTCAACGTATTTTGTTCAAACTTTCACAGAAGCTTTGTCATCAAGTGTCCTGGCACATATTGTCTGGTTTTGTGATTAGATAATTTTTGACCTAATTATGGCCCTTTGTTTTTTTTTCCTTATACAGAATATATAGTGAACACTTCTTCAGTGGCAATTCCTCCTAAATTATTCATGTTTTACATTGCACATAGTTACATTGTTTGTTGCTTGTATTTGTATTTCAAATACAACATATTTATCTACAATGGTGATAATTGAAAACCTGGTTTCATGGCATTGCCATGTTTCTTGTTTTAGTATTTATCACCATATTTCTACAGCGTGACTAATGCAGTAAGGGCTATTTTGCATCTTTCTAATTCTTTTTGATAATTTACATGGATTGTAAATGCTGATTGCAATGCATAAATTACTTTCTTTGTTCACTTCACAACATTTTACTTTTAAATACATTTTCAAAATTTTCAATAGCATGAATCTGGAGACATGCTGTTATAAAGTGTAAAAAAAGCAAAGATAACAATCGTCATTGTGAAAATCAATTTATAATTACATGCACAGTTTTTCGATGTAATGCATGCTAATATGATGTTACATGTTTGTTAAATGCCTAAGAAACTCAATATTTGAGCCGCATCACGACAAAACCAACATAGTGGGTTTGCGACCAGCATGGATCCAGACCAGCCTGCGCATCTGAGCAGTCTGATCAGGATCCATGCTGTTCGCTGTCAGTTTCTCAACTTGTAATAGAGTTGGTAAGCGACCAGTATGGATCCTGATCAGACTGCGCGGATGCGCAGGCTGGTCTGGATCCATACTGGTCGCAAACCCATTGTGTTGGTTTTGTCGTGATGCGGCTCATTTATCAAGTTGTTTGCTTTCATATTTGAGTTTCTCCAGTTAAAATAAACTTACAAAAGGATGACACAATTATAATAAAGATTTCCTAATCTTGATAGAATTATCATTTATACCTGTATGTTTACAGTTTGCTCCACCACCACATTTCCGACGTTGGATGAGAAGGTTTATGAGACGTTGGCACAGTAAGAACACCCCTGGATGTCCAATGGAACAAGACTCTCCTGATGATGAACTTTCCCCACCAGGTACAACCAGATTCTTAAACTCATGAGTACATTTAATGTTATTTGTCATCTATAGAAGAAAGTAGTCTGGATAAGTGTTATGTGGTTCAAGTCATGCAGACAGTGTGAAAGTCATATGACAACTTCGCAGCTTAACTGTTGGACCTCAGCTGCCCTTCCATGTATCCTTTAAGGAACAAGCAGACTGTTGAGTAGAACCACCAACCTATCCATAAACTGTCTAGAAAGCTTCCTAACATGACGGAGTTCTAAGTACCTGCATGACTTGAGCTGTCAGGTGTGAGGGGCTAGAGATTTGAAGCAGGTGTCATAAACCATTCGACACCAGAGGGCCCTCAGACTTTTAACCTTACTGGAAAATATACATGTATTGTTGTGTCAATTTCTTTTCTGTTGACAAATCTTTCCAGTTTTTTATGTCGGCAAATCAGATGTCGACATAAACTTACATTTTATCTTCATGATTTGAGTTGGACTTATTTATAAATGATACTCACTTATTCTTTGCTTAATAAGAAGAACATTAAAATTTAGGAGCATCTTATTTTAAAACCTTAATTCATTGTACATGATGTATTTAAAATTAAGATAATTTATTATGTTGTTTCAGAAAGTGGCCCATTTGCCTATCCTGGATCTTTTGCAAGATGTTGGACTCAAGGTCAAAGACATGCACAAAAGAGAAACAAATCTTCAGCTGGAAAATGTTCTCCACGTAAATGTTCCCCACAAAAATCTAGCCCAAGATCTTGCCGAGATGGAAAAAGGGTCGTCTCTTCTGATACAGAGAAACAGAATACTGTAATTGACCTTACATCTGGCCTTGACCATGGGGTTACCATGGAAATGAAAAGGTCAACAGAAGATGAGAATGTAACTGCAGAGGAGAGATGTACAGAAGAAATAACCACTGCCACAGAGAAGATTGTTCTTGATGATGATGATAATGATGCTGACGTTGAACAAGATGAGATGATTCTAGTAAATGATGAAGCTGATGGAGATGACCTTGAACCTATGAGAGGTCAAGCTGTGGAATTTGAGGATGGGAGGCAACCACCAGAACCTGCAAGATTGGTAGTATTTTATTATGTGGTTTATAATGACAGTCAAATATTAATTAAGTCTTTAAAGTATAGTATATATAGGCCTGTCATCCTCAATTTAATAAAGTGGGTATAAAGAAAATTGATTTGAAATATATACCATCATGAACCCATATTTGACACAAATGTCACATGGTGAGATAAATGTGCAGCCTGACTAGGACTGGAACCTAGGACCATCGGGATATTGTCATGCAGATTCACAGACTTAACAACATGATCACATACACATTTTCTCCCTAATGATAAAAACAGTTCTATACATGACAATAAAATAAGGTCAAGTCATTATTCTGTACCAATGCTTATCTGTTTTCCCCATTTGTGACAGTCAAATTATGCATATTAATGACTTCTTTAATAGTGAAGTACTAACTCTTTAGTTTAAGTACATGAATGTTGAAAAACATGAGCTGTACTTTATACACTTAAACTTTAAATTCCAGAACTCTTAAATGAAATGTAATTTTGTGAGTGAATTAATAAAAACATACATTATAAATTCAGGTCAATTATGTCAATGAAATTTTGTTTATTACAGGATTTACAGCATGATGATGGCAACAGAAGGAAGGAGAATGGTGATAACTCATGGCTGCTGCTGAATGTAACTGCTGACAACACCCCTGCAACAGTGGGACCAGCCACTTCAAGTCAGTCTATGCCATCTGTACAGTCTGCCCCGAGCCAGGTACCAGTTAGCCAAGGCGCTGGTCAATCTGTAGTTGCTGGAACCGCTCCAGAAATGTTGATATCTACAAGCTCACAGACTGGAACCAGATCTGTACACTTTCAGAATCCTCCACAAATATATTACCCTCCATCTAGTAAGTTTTGTCTATTTAATAAATGTAAGTATGTATGTAAGACATGTGGCTTATCTAATATTACAGCAAATCAACACATTTTAGAAAAATTTGAAAAATGGTTTATTCCTGTTTCTTGATGTTTTTAGCTTGTTCCTGTCAGTGAACAATAAGTAATGTAAAAATTTCAAATTTAAAATGTCTGAACATCTAACACTTGACCTCAATGTCTGTGCAGTCTTCTAGCTGATCAAGCTGATATTTCAAACTTGAAACTGATGAATTGTTTATTGACATTTCCAATTTTCTTTAAAGCATAATTCTGTTAGAGAAAGATTAGATTTATGAATTTATTTTCAGGCCCAAGAGTAGCTGAGGCACTTCAGCAGATGATGTCAATGGGTTTTAACAATGATGGAGGCTGGTTGACTAGACTTCTAGAGGATAAGAATGGTGATATCATACAGGTTCTTGATGCTATAAAACCACAGCCTGGACGTTCTCGTGAAACAAGTGGTGGTTATATGGCTTAAACTTCAAAAGTACAAGCCCAGTCTAGAGATGGAGGTCATATGGCTTAAGTATGTTGTTTAAAAGGTACAAGCCCAGCGTAGAGATGAACCAAGACTGGTTTGATTCTCGGAAAGTCAGATCTGCCATGATGATGTAAATCTTAAGTCTTTAGATATATTGATAATATTGATGAAACTTTAACTTGCTAGATATACTTTGTTGAAAATTATTATAAATGTCAAAGTGCTTGTTGAAAATTATTATAAATATAAAAGTGCTGGAATATGGAATATTGATGATACATTAGTTTTTTGTGTTAATTATCACAGGGTTATTTTGTTATTGTGTTGTTTTTTTAATCATGTATGTGCTTGCATTTAGCAATTAGCATTTGTATACTTTGTTATTATCTGGATTTCAGTTATAGAATTGTATATTAATTTGTTGAGATTTTTTTTTTCTATTATGAATTTTGTATATACTGAGGCCTGTTTTCTAGAAATTGTATATAGGATAACACCTTAGTGCAATAACAGGTTAACTTCTCTTATAATTTATAGTAGTTAACCCATTACTGCACTTAGTGGACAATATAATGAGGTTTTCATGTTTCGATGTGTCACAGATTATTCATTTGATCAAAATGATTATTCACATGTTATAACTTCCTCTAAGCTTTTTAAAACAATCGTATATGAAAAACTAAACTTTTATCTTTTGTAAAAACAAGCCATAATTTCAATTTGGCAGTTTAATTTCCTTTTTCTTAATGTTTTTAACCACCTCTATTACACTTGTAATAATTTCCTGTGGCGACAAGTTAAGTTTTAATTTCCTTTACGCAGAAGTTTGACAAAGTTACTGGAAAATAAATGAAAAAAGTTCAAAACTTAAGTATCTTTTAACAGATTTAATTTACAGACAATGAGTTGATTTTAAGAAAATGTAAGAGGTACTCAATTTTCTTATTGTCTCTAGAAAATTTTTTCCTTCTCTTTTGTTTCCATGTAAACCAGCATTGTGGTGGTTACTAACATGTACTGAAACATTACACAAACAGGAAAAAAAAGTATTCATTTTGTCCTTTAATTTATAGTTTATCACTGTCCTGAAGGAAAAAACATTTTTTATTTGAATTATGTTTTTATTGTTTTAAAACTTTAGATATCAGAAAGTCTTTGTAAGTGAGTTTGTTTTTGTTACTGTTATCAGTAACAACCTAATACTAATAGAGCCTGGTAGAATCAGGTCTACCTTTATATTTAATGTGTTTGGTCAGACTTTATAGCATTTGCAACTTGGTTTTATTATTTTGTAAAAGAAAGTCCTAACATTAGTAATTCAAACTAAATTTAACATTCAGGAGGGTAAATAAATTAGCGTTCTCTTACACGAAATATTTGATAATGTTTTCTTTTGTTTTTACTTCTTGTTTAAGGTAAAACATTTTTCATTTTTTAAAATGAAATAAATTGGTTCCTAAAAAGTTCTGAGATTATCATTGTGTATTGATTTTCAAGAGTTAGTTTTAAAAAACTGCTGTGTCTCACTGTTTTAGACTTGTGTCAGTTTATGTTTTGTTGTAACTTTAAAATTATGTAAAAAATACAAACAAGTTTTTAATCTTAAATACATGACAGTGTACATTTGTATAAAATTGTTAAAGAATATTTGAAATGAAATATATTTTGTTTAGTCAAAATTAGACATGCTGTTAATGATATATATTATATCAAAATAAAAGTATACTGGAATAATAGATGTTTTTTTTCTTCAAATATTTGTCCCATATCAGAGGTGTAACTTGGTTGAAATTTATGTGTTGTCTGAATTCTAGGATGATTTGTGGGTATATACCACCAAGGCCATGGCCTAAAGGAAACTAAACCACTTAAGATATTGATATAAATGTCTGTGCGTTTATCTATTGATTGGCGAGTTTTACACTTAATTTCTACAAATTCGGATTTTAAGTTTTAGCACTATTACAAACTATTGTTACAGTCTCGTTGTCTTGCATGACATTGGCCATATTTTTTTTAAAATTCTTAATTGATTGTCTTTATACTTGAACACAAGAACCTTTTAGACAAGACCTTTAGGTAGAATTTGACGTTGAATCAGCGATGACCTTGACCTTTAAGGCCCTCTTGCTTTCTTTTTTTTTGCCATAACTGGCTCATACTTTTAATAAAGGAATGGATTACCTTTCAATAGATCCAACAAGAGTTGACCTTGTCTCATTAATGACATTGAATGTCAAATCATTGAATTTTGCTTGGATTGTACTACACTTTGCTATTTATTTGATATGCATGTATATATCGGCTAAGTTATTTATATATACTATCTAGAATCTTTAACTTACCTTAACTTGACCTTTCACTGACATTAATATGTAAGGTCAAATTATTAAATTTTGCTGAAATTTCCCATTAGCTGATGAATTTGATTCATACTAACTTCTCATGACAATTTAAAGCATTCAAGTGTAGTTCAAAGGTAACAAAATGTAAACACATTTGTATTTTGACTTCCATACTAAATTCTAATTCACTATAATTATTATACCTATTACACCTTTTGCATTCTTTACCCTATCATTTTTTGTCCTCTATGAAACCATAGAGCTAATAGCCTATCTCATTGGCGACATGACTACCTCCTTCACGACAGAACTTTCTCCAAAAACAAATATCCTATATTTTCTTTATTAAATAATGTTTTGATCTGATTTCAATCTTATTTCATTTCTATACCTTATATCTGCTTGAAACATACTTGTTTTAATCTGAATCACTGTTTACATGAAAATGGGAGGAAAAATTATCTGTTTCATGATGAAACGGTCCATTTCAACGCTGAATTCGCTAACTGGGAAACGCCGCCTAAACAACATTTCAAACACAAGTATAACAACTTTAATCAAAACTTTAATCAAATCTACATCGCATAGCATTCTCTGAATGTTGATATTTTGGTGTAGAGTTTACAAAATATATAAAAAATGAAAACACTTGACACTTAATTTTAGCGACATGCACTAGCTCGGAAGTAGCGATAGAGCGATTTACCGTATACCTCCGAAAGAGGTAGCTCTTTATTACATGCTTTTCGGTGGTTTATAGAAATATATTAGTGATATAAAACTGGTAATTTCACTGTTTGAAACAGTGAAATTACCACTTTGATAATTTCACTGTTTTGAATTTAAGCCCCTTACGTTGTTTCAGTGAAATACCAGCGTGCACAGAACTGGGTACCAACTTAATGATGTGACGTCGTAAATGACGTCACGTTGTATTATTATTTGGCGCGCTTTTCATTCAGTATTAGGTTTAATGTCTTTTTAAAACGTTTCTTTGCATATAATAAAAAGAAAATTTGTTTAGTATAGTGTAAGATCGAAATATATTTCACCTTGTGAACACCAAAAGTGCATATTTCACTCGTGGCTGCGCCACTCGTGAAATATACCTTTTGGTGCTCACTCGGTGAAATATATTCCGATCTTACACTGAACTAAACAAATATCCTCTATATCATTTACCAGGCGTGTATTACCAACATAAATCAAAGTGCTGCAGCACTGAACGCGACGGACATGCAACCGGAGAGACATTAAGGCTTTTTTAAGAAAAAAAAACACACACACACACACAGAAGATATAACAGAGACAATTTGTTCCATACAAGTTCGAGATTTGTAGAGCAATATATTTTATGTGTCCCAATCTGATATAATTAATATTTTTCTACTTATACCGAATGAAATTTATGCCTAAAAACTCTGGTCAAACTTGTATCTCCTTATCGATTTATTCCAAGGAATGATATGTAAATAGAAAAAAACTGTCAACGAAATATTTCTAAAATAAAACCATGCAAATTAACTTCAAGCATAATACATTAGATCTATATACATGTGAGAATGTTATTTTTAAGCTGTCCTTTTCAATTTCACACTAAATTCCATTTTCAACTTGTTTCCTTCTTACAGTTGTATAGAATTTCTTAAAGTATTGCATGTAAACCGCTGGTTTATTACATGTATAATGTGTACTCCCTAATCGCCTGTCCGGTGAAGCAGAATCTATTTTTAGTATATCGAAGGTTAACTCATATCGTGACCTAGAAAAATATGTTAACAAACCACAAGAATCGGAAGTAGAACTGATATTATAACTTCCTTCAATAAAGATTACCATGAAAGACTACATGGTGGTAAAGTGTTGAAAAAAACTCTCTTGTTACATGCATTTTCAAAAATAGATATTTATACTAACCCATTATACTGTATCTAATTTATTAATAACTGCTGAATATTCAGCAACCCGCGGTATGAGTCACGAAAATAGTTCTTCTTTTATTAATGCGCGAGTTATTCTAGAGTCACGAAAAACTTTTGATTTGTTAATAATAATGTTTTGTATAATGTAGAAATATTTATTTCCTACTAATAATTTCATGGAACTCAGAGCTTACACCTTTATTATAGTATAATTTGCTGTCCTACTTTTTCGACAGCTGTAAATCGTTTCGGCAGTAATTTGCATATTGCGCAATAATACTACGGGACTACAACGTTTTTATCAATCAAATACGTTCATATGTTAACTTGGATAACTTAATTTGAAATTGAAAAGGCTAAACATGGATTTTTTTAAGATATCCCGACAACGTATGTGAGTTTTAAAGGATCAAATTCATGTACTATTTCATGGGCTGTTATTCGGTTGAGGACACATTGCGCGATTGTAGCAGACGAAATCCCATGTGTAGATGACTTAGCTCTGAACGCGCCTGAGGGCGCGTCCGTCGCAAAAAGCAGCAGAAGATATATGGCAAACGAGTATATTTGGAAAGGTTTTGAGAAATAAAATGATAGCATTTATCAAATGATAAAATGATTTCTGAGATAAAATTGGCCTTTATATTAAAATACAATACAACTTTAAGTTCCACAAAATTGCATTTACAATTCCAATGATTTTTCCCTTCCTCAGTAAAGTTCGCCTTAGGAAACCATTAAGAGTAATTTCAAGCAAACATAATTTTACAGTTAGTAACAATTTTAAGTGACTGAAATATTCTTTTAATTTCAGTATGTAACATGTATTGATCGTGTAAGACTTATAGCAATTATATAGAAAAGATAAAGAAATATATTGAAGTATTGAAAAAATGATAAAACTTCCACGTCGTCGTTATGCCAACATGATCACCTGCTTAATTACAGCGTATTCTGAAAAACAAGGGGACTCGTTTACTTTTAACATTTTTGCATGGCTGACACTTGGATTATTTAACATAATAATGAACACTGTTTGGTAAGACATTGTTTCATTGGGTAGGTAGGGATGGAACTGGATAGTTTAGTGTCCATAAATCTTAAACATATTCCCACATTCGACCTTAAAGCAGCACGCCACCAGATCATGAAAATTTTGAAAATGCATAAAAAAAGTAAAATATTGTGAAGTGAAGAAAGAAAATATTTTTCATATTGCAAACAGCATAAACAATTCAAGTAAATTACCAAAAAGTGGTCAGAATATGCAAAAATAGCCCTTGCTGCGTTAGTAACGCAGTAGAAATATGGGGGGTGGGGTATACTGCAAAATCGGTCATAAATCGCTCATAACATAATTTTACTTTTCTTAAAATCTCAGTACTTTTTACTCAAGTTTTATTTTCTTGAAATATTTAAGCTCATCTGGAGGCATGCAGCTTTAAGAAACTCTCGTTCAAGACGCAAAAAATATGATATGACACCATACCATGCCGTTATGTCTTAATATCACACCTATACATATATAGCATGACACTGAATATGTTGTCAATATTCACAAAATATATTCATTTATTACCCTTCCAGATTTTTTCCGCCTTTTTGATTGGATATTGATCACCCGAAAGAAATTGATATAACCGAGCCAGACGGGTAATATACACACTAAATTTCCCCGTTTGGTACCCAACCTTGTAAACAACATGCGCGGAGATGATGCGCGTACGGTTCGATTTTACGTGGTGTAAATTCCGATTTAAAAGCACCTTTTAACTGTCAAATGATAAATATTTACCAAAGTAGAGTTATGATACATATAACCATCAGTATCGAAAACAAATATGACCTTGTGAAAGCTTGATATTAATTACAAAAAAGTGCGTTCAATAGACTACTCCTTTTCTCTTGTTTACTTTTGTAAGGTACGGGAAAAATACGTCATGTATTTATGTGACGTCATGTTGTGACGAAGAGGTATCCTAAAGGGAATCTTATTTCGACGTTTCATTTGAAACAGCAATGATTATTTAAAAAATCGTCTGAACTCGGCAGGGGAAGGGTAATAAAATTATTATTTTGGTTTTGGAGTGATATATGTGGATATATTACCTGCCAAGATAAAATATCACCCTCGCCTAACGGCTCGGGTGATATAAAATCTTAACAGGTAATATATCCACATATATCACTCCAAAACCAAAATAACATATAATATCACATGACATCATCGTTTGAAATACATATACATTTATATATATTCACATTACTCAGTCTCACATGATTTTGATTGATTTTTTGCAAGGTGTTACATATAGGCCACACAATGTGCAGATCAATTCATTGTTCGTTTATTGTGTCCTTGGCAAAAATCATATTTCAACGTATAAAATGCTTTTGTAACTGTAAGTAAATTGTTAAATGCTTCTGAAAAAAAAATCACGACATGTCCTCATTTCGGTTTGCCTATTGGATAGATTAATAATATCTGTCATATTTTGCGGTTCGGATCGGAATATTCGACCCGAGGTTACCCGCCCATTGGGCGGTAACGAGGCTTGCCGAGTTACCGCCCATGGGCGGGTGACCGAGGGACGGATATTCCGATCCGAACCGCAAACATATGTCAGATATTTTTTCTTGCATATTCTTCCATATTCCATTATATATTAAATTCTTTATCTTTATTTTCAATGACTTTCTTACAACAGCGTATAAATTACAACTTCATTCATAACCGTTACGGTAAAATGACGTCATCCTAACCGTGCCATTGTACAGCACGCGACTCATCTGGAACCCCCCATGCCAGATGAAATTTCCGGCATGGGTAAAACTCACGGAAACGCCAGTCTGATATGCAAGAAAGCAGCTTGCCAAGTGATCGCTCTCAACATTCCAGCATTGTTTATAATAAGGAATCTGCTTATAATAAGGAATCCAGATATGAAAATAAAGAAAAACCAGGAATTTATTGTATATGCATGGCCTTATATCTTAGAAATGACAACATGGCTATAAATAAATCTATATCTTACAAGCGTCATTAAAATTAATGTGTTGAAACAGCTGCTTTTAATCGGTTTATAAAACTGTATATTTACGTTCTTACTTTATCATAATCATAAATACGTAAATTACTAATACAAATGCATAATATTTTGCTTTGTCATTCGAATGTGTTAGACTTCTGTTACTAAGTGTATGGTCAATCCATGCACATGACCTATGACAAATAACACTCTGGGTGTTGGTCTTTAGTACTTATCAAGGAACAACAGTAAAAGAATTAAAATAATTACTCTTTTCGGCGTTCCGTTTTTCGTTTGCAATAAAACATGGCTTGTTTAATTTTTCTTTTTTTTTTTTGTTATTTCTAAAATACAGTGTAATATTAAACAATAGATAGCTCGTCCTTTCATGTTTGCCGCAAAACTACCATGCATGTATACATTAATTATACCCATTAAATTATTGCCATTATAAAACAACTAATTGATTGAAATGTATTGATAACTGATCGAACATGATTTCTATCTAAACACAATTCTTAAAACGAATGTGCTTGTAAACGCGTTTATTTAACGTGCTAAACTATTTTTTTAACCAGGTTACCATATTCTTTCAAACAAATTTGAATTTGTTAACTTCTCACGAAAACGTGAAAATTCGTTTAGCAATATGTAAATATGCACAAAGATACATGTATATAGTTAGGTAGGATATACATTAATTCCATAAAACAATGAACAATTCGATCATCACATGACATTTTATTAGTTTAATTGTTGTCCACCCCCAACCCCGACTCAATTTCTGGTTTTGAAAAACGAACACACACGTGTATATCACGTGCATTTACGTATATAAGGAACTTGCATCCCGTGCTTATCGTACGGCAGGGCTGATAAATAATTAATATATTTCCTATTACTGTACAGATCAGGGGAAGTAACCGCTGCGAGGAGTTTGACATGTCCTAATTTATTAACCGGAAACTGCGTAGTGAAACATCAAAACAACTGTGTCATTATGAAAATCAAATACATAGGTGACGGCCATTTAATCTAGACTATTCGTATTGCAGCATAAATCTATGACTCACGTCACATGACCGCGGTTAACGATTAAGTAAGTGTTCGTATATAAAGCAGAACATTTTACCCAACGTATCAAAACACTTTTCGGAACGTTCAAGTACACAACATTACGATAAAGTTAAAGGGAGATATTCAAGTTGTTTTGAGATTTATTTCATATTTATAGAAATAGATACGACATTGCGATATTTTTAAGCTAAGATTAAGGAATAAATAAGAAAATGTCGCTTACAATTAAAGCGTTTTTACAGAGGGACGGAAAGTGGGACGGCGAAATTCGTCGGTTCCAGATCCCCGCCGACGTCTCGTCCAGCTACGATTACCTGAGCAAGAAACTTTGTGACATTTTCCCGTCACTTAGACAGGGAAATTTCTCCCTCTTCTGGAAAGGTAGGTGTTTTGTTAATCAAAGTGTCTGTTAAATTCGCCTTTCAGGCCATTTTTTTTCAACCTTGAAATATAATTATCATAATTTATTCATACAACCAAAAAGAAATAATATGCGTCTCTTTTTACGCGATACTGATAAACCGTGGAACTTTATATTATATAACAATAAATGTTATACAAGTCTCAGGAAAACATGCAGGGACTTTCGAAGTCAGGGGGATACAGAATTCTGGTGATTTCTATAAAGCACAATACTTTCTGCTTCTTTAAAAGAATTGTTAAATTTGAATTAAATATGATACTGAATTTCGACGGGTTTTTTGTTTTGTTCTGATTGTTTGCTGTACATTACAGTGGCCATTTAAATGTGATGATAATATCATTCAGATGTTAAAATCTTTTGCACGACTATAGACCAAACTATCATAAGTTCAAGTTTTTTTTTAATCTCGCATCACCAAAAGTCGAATAAGCTATATTTGGTTCCTTGGTTTCTTTCTGACATTTTTGTAATTGTGACCTTTCTTCTTTTCAGATCCCGACGGTGATCATGTCTCTTTCTCCACCGACGAAGAATTGATGGAAGCTCTCGGCTTTGTTTCCGACAGCGTCTTTAAAGTATTCATAGTTTTAAAAGGTTAGTTCATTTATTACTTTATTAGTCATACAATAATTTTAAAAAAAAATTGCCTTAAAATAAATAGTACACGTATTTCTTGGGAAAAGAAACGTAAAGAAATACATTTGCACGGTTTTAGATAATAATACGCATCAGATAAAATATTAATGTACATTGATTAATGAAAGTACAATGTAGTAGACTATACAATATATTGTCTCACAGCAAGCTCTTTCAATTTGAAGATCTTTAAACCCTTTTCATTGTGATGGATAGTTCTAACATTTATAAATTTGAATCCGATAGTTCGTACTACTAGTATATATAAATGTAAGGGCGTTGGCTTGAAATATGATCGCCCATCTAGAGATAGACCTACGTAAATTTTTTCTGTATCAGATTTACATTTATCTAAGTTTTTTTAACGTGTTAATAAATTTTTCCTGGTTCTATTTATAGAAGGTCAGCAAGGCACTGGTAAAAGTGATGACAATGATGTACTTCATCCAGGTGTTGTCTGCGATGGGTGCGAGATGGGCCCAATTTGTGGACCGAGGTACAAGTGTCTCGTCTGCCCAGACTATGATTTGTGCAGGAATTGTGAGGCGAGTGGAATGCACGTGGAACATGATATGATGAAGATAACTGCCCCAGGAAACTTTCCTGGCGGATTTGCTGGTTTTCCATTCGGTGGACCTCAAGGGCCACATGGACCAGGGCCAAATGGGGTACGTAAACTTCTTATTTTTTCTTTATATAAAGAATGTAATTTTCTAAATCTTTTGTTTGAAGTGGTTTTTTTTTTCAAATTCTGAAATTTCCAAATTCTGAAATTATTCATTGTAATAGCATGTTGATTGTAAATCATACTGTATGTACTTATAGCCATTCGTTCCCCCTCCCCACTTCCGGCGATGGATGCAACGTTTCATGAAGAGGTGGCACAATAAGAACGCCCAAGGATCGGAAGGCCCTTGTGGTCAGAAGGAAGGAGAGACAGAAGAAAAGAAAGATCAAGACCAGAAAATGGAGGATGAACCGCAAGGACAGGACTCTGGGGAATCCAGTGGAGAGGAATACCTTAGAAATGTCGGCGAGGCTGTTGCGCAAATGCTTGACCCTTTCGGTATGCATAAAATTTCCCGTTCTTGTACATTTATGACCAGTGATATTCACATTGTACAATTGACATGTATAATTAATCTTGTCATAATATATGGTTATAATGTATTTGTAGAGTGATATTATATGATACATATTATATTGTATGACTGCGTGATCTTTGATGATGAAAACAATTGACACGCATGACAAGTGATGTTATTACCGCTTATCATTTATTGAATGATTGATGTTGTTTCGTTGCAGCGTGGATTATATAATTTTCCTTTTATTCCAGGAATAGATGTTGATATAGATGTCGAAAAACACAATCGTGGAGAAGAGAAAGAAGATGAGGACGGTAATGGTGAAAAGAAAGGACACGGAGGAAGAGGGCGTGGTCGTGCACGTGGGCGTGGCTGTAGTCCTCGTGGAAAGAGGTTCAGATCTGGACCACCATGTGGTGGAGCAGGACCATGGGGAATGTGGGGCTGGATGGGCGGATGTCCTATGGGACAAATGGGTCCCATGGGGCCACCACCAGGACATTGTAGAAGAAATGGGGGACAAGCGGGACCTTTTGGTGCTGCCGGACCATGTGGGCCAGCAGGTAAACGGTGTGGAAAACAAGGGAAGCGTAACGCTGATGTACCAGCTGACAAGCCCCAGGACACACCCACTGAAAAGCCTAAAGAGCAACAAGAAGCATGTGACCTCATGGATTGTGGTAACGTTAACATGGCCGATTCCCAGAGAGCAAAGTCACCAACACGCATGGTGAGTCTTTAAGATTTTACATATTTTCTTTATTAACGTGGCCGAGTGGTTAACGCGTTTGATTAGTAATCTAAGCGTGGGTTCAAACCCTGTTAGGGGCAAACCGTTGTTTCTTTGAGCAAGAAACTTAACATTTATTGCTTAGTACAGGTTGATTCCAGGAACGGATTCAGAGTGAAGCTTAAAACACAATAAAACTAACTTATTGTATTGTCACTGGTTTTAATACCTGACACAAAGTATTCTATCAATCACACTGATTCTAAAGCCTTTATTTGCTGTTGTGGGATTAAGCCTTACCTTTTGAGTCAACATAAGTTTTGAAATTATAGCATTTATACAGAGTGATTATAGAGCGTTTTATTTTTTTCAGGACGCTGAACCGAGTGGAAAGAAACCAGACGAAAATGCCTGGACATTGCTTAACCTGAGCGGAGAACCATCTGGACAATCAGCTCCACAGCCTGAAGTTCCGGTTGCACAACCTCCCTCCAATGGATCCATGTCTGGTCCTTCAGTTCCCATTTACCCACCAGCAGGTGTGTACTTTTTACCGTGATTAGTTAATGCACTTCTCTTAAATTGATTTCCTCAACCACTCAGAATATTTTATGCTAAAGATGTAAACGTATTTTATTGATTTGTTTGATAAAACTATACTATAGTGTTATTATTCTAACATCATAATTCTATAGCCATAGTTATTTTATCATGTTATTAAGCAATCATAATTTGATTACTTTCAATGTTTATTTTTTGATAATATTGATTGTTTCTCTCTTCAGACCCAAAAATAGCAGAAGCTCTGCAGCAGATGACGGCCATGGGGTTCAGTAATGAGGGAGGCTGGCTAACCAACCTTCTTATGGCCAAGAATGGGGACATCATTCAGGTGTTGGATGCTATTAGGCCCAACCAACGCCCTAAGACCTCAGAGGGAGGCACCCACGCCTAAACGGCAGACACAGGCAAACAGCAGACGACAGTTTTATTTTCCTTGAATAAACTTTATTAGTGTTATTTATAGTATAATCATTACCCTGATTGAAGAGTTTTAAGATACATGTCCTTAAATGCTATAAATGAACTTTGATTTGTTATAAAGAAAAAAGAAATATGATTAAGGCAAAAATATGTCCTTCCATGTTGATTTGTCATAAAAAAGAAATACGATTTAGGCAACAAAAATAGTAATTAATAGATTGTCAAATTTGTAAACATAATTATGTTTTATTGATAATGTGAGCCAGAGGGTGAAATAATTTATTAGTCTGTAGCTTGGGGGAATTATTGTATATTTTTGTGGTTTATTATACAGTGTATGTTTATATAGTCCGTCATACCCTTCATGTTGTTATATATTAAAAAGGGAGATAATTCACATTTTATTTATAGATTTCATTAGACTATTTTTGACTTTGTTTTTATCGGGTTTCAATTTAGTCTAGTAGTAATTTCATTAAACATGTTGAAGTTTCAAACGGCGTTCTAGAAAAAAATAACAATCATGACAATAAGGAAAATAGATGTGAATTACAAAAAAGTGATACATGTTTTTGGTGTTCATTTGGTATTAAATTAAAACACTGTGTACTTTTGTTGTAGACTGTATCTTTTATTACACAAAATATATATGTCGTTGATCTGCTGTTTTGCTTGTTAAAGATTAATTAACATGATATATTTGGGTTTTGTATTGTGGAAATATAAGTCATTTGAAAAAATAAATGTTTGTCTTATTATCTTTTTACTTTGTATTATAAATACAAGAATGAGGATTTATGCACGGAAAAGTAAAAGTTCTCGCTTGTTTAAGAAAAGAAAAACATAATTTTTAGCGTTTCATGAAAATACAAAATTGCCCAGCATTTTTATGCCTCCACAAAGTGGGAGCATATAGCGTTGCACTTGTCCGTCGGTACGTACGTCTGTCCGTACGTCCCGAAATCTTGTGAACGCAACTCCTCTTAAATTTGCTTAAACTTCCAGGGATGAACAACCTTAATGTGTAGATGGTAGTAAAGGAAGGAATTTTGCTGCGACCAAATTTAACAGAATTATGACCCTTTGTTGATTTTTTCACTATGTAGAAATTTCAAGAACGCAACTCCTCTTAAACCGGATGGCAGATTTTGCTTAAACTTCCAGGGAGGAACAACCTTAATGTGTAGATGGCAGTTAAGAAAGGAATTTTTGCTGCAACCAAATTTAACAGAATTATGGCCCTTTGCGGATTTTTTCACTAAATACCATATAGAAATTTCAAGAACGCAACTCGTCTTAAACCGGATGGCAGATTTTGCTTAAACTTCCAGAATGTGTAGATGGAAGTAAATGAGGAATTTTTGCTGCGACCAAATTTAACAGAATTATGGCCCTTTGTTAATTTTTTCACTATATACCATATAGAAATTTTGTGAACGCAACTCCTCTTAAACCGGATGTAAACAGCTTTAATGTGTAAAGGAATTTTTGCTGTGACCAAATTTAACAGAATTATGGCACTTTGTTCATTTTTTCACTATATACCATATAAATAATTGAACATATAAATTTTACATTTGTAATTTAATTTAACATGTACGTAAGGTTACCTGTAGATCAGTTTAGGTATATGTACAGAAATGAAACAGTGGAATGAAAAAGTTCCACATAAAAATCTTACATACAGATATGCATGCTCTTGTTTACGAGCACATCTGTACAGTGGGGGTATCCGTGTCCTTTGGACACAGTTCTAGCTTTTTTGGCGTGTCATTAACAATTAATGACTACAGTATATTAGTTTGATCTCTTCTTACTTCTTTAAAACTTCCGTCAACCTGAAATGAACCTTTGTGTCATAATAGATAGTATTTAAGAAACTGAAAAAATAGTGAAAAGATATGGAAGTAAAATCAGAAAACAAAAGAGAAACCACATTAGATGCAGTATTATTCTCGAAATTATTACAAGAAAATTAATGCCTCACCTAGTCCAACTTCTGTTCAAGCTGTCATATTTGCGGATTACTACTTAACATTTACTATGCCGGAACCGAAAATGGTTTATGTCTGACCATACTCTGTATTGTTGGATGAATAGATTTTTATCTTGATATACCCAAAATAGATAATGGACAGTTCCAAAAATGGAAACTGGTCAGTTTATTAAATTCAGCAGGTTTGAGGTTAAATAAGCAGTAGACTGTGACAAGGGAAATGCCTATAAATGGGCTGCAGGTTTATTCCAAACGGTACTAAATTCTAGCTGATTGGCCATGGTGACATTGTTTGTTTGAACTGGTTTAAGCCACAATACCTCCTTTAACCCATTACGCGATATACACGCCTTTTAACGCCTTTTTCACCCCCCCCCCTTTTTTGTTGTCTCAAATGGTGAAAAAATGCCTTATTTAGGCCCCCAACACTTGTTTTTGTTTGAGAAATGTTGTTAAGAAAGTGACCACTTTTTCGGCGCGGCCCCCCAACCAAAAGATACATCAGGGGGTTGCTGTTTGGGGGGTTTGAAGGGGGCGGAGTTCCCCTAATCGCCAAGTTGATCATAAGGTAACGTGCAACCAACGCTGAAAAGCATTTGACTCTATCTCAATCCATTGAGAAGTTGCAGCACTTTGAAATCAATTTTGATGGAAAGAATCAACGCAAACTAGTGATTTTTGGCAATTTTGAGATGTCCCCTCGTTGCCATGGTAACAGAAAATTTAAGCCCGAGCATGTTGTTAACAGGGCAATGGTCCAGTCAACATGTGTGCCAAGTTTGATTAGTGTTGTAGCAGTTTTTATAGTATTATAGCAATTTGAACTTGTAACGGGAGACTTTTCAATGAAAACAGCCATTTTTCACAAAATGCTCATGAAGTAATGGGTTAATGTAGCCTATTCTATGGAAGGGAAACAATCCAATTGATTTAATGATTGGAAACTATGCAGCTAGCTAATAATAGATAATAGTACTTTCAAGTGGTAGCCAAGGTGACCAACATATATGCAAAAGAAAATGCAGTGGATGAACTAGGTGAAAAGAAAGTCTTTCTACAAAACAGTGGGTACTGACATACAGTACTAGTATTTGTTGAACAGAAGTAATGACTTAAAAAGCTGACCTAAATGAATTATTATTTGTGGTTAATAAATTGCATACATGCAAGAAAATAAAACAAAGCTGGTTTATCATATAATTAAATTTATTGGAAATTTTCTGTCTGATAATCAAAATACAGTTGAATCAACATTACACAAAACAAAACAAGAATATCACAATTTGAAGTTTCTATGTGTACACAGACTATTACACAAAACATACATATGTATCGTGTTCAATATACTGCATGCATACACAATAATATTTCATCATAAAACTTGATCATGTGTAACAGCAAAATATACATATGTTTAGCATACACACATATATATTATACATGTACTATATACATACATGTATATAGTACATGTATAATGCACATGGGAATAAAGAACACAAATGCAAGATTTATATTCTATTCCATTCATAAAAAAACCCCTCAAATATTGCTTTTTTTGAAATCTGAAAAAAATAATTCAACAATAATTGTCTTTTATATCATAAACAATTGTTTAATTGTTTAGAAATATACTTTTTTATCTCAAAAGAATTGGTTTTCACCTTCAAACACTATACTGTATAATAACTTTCAAATAAATACACATAAAAAACATCCTAAACTTCCACGTCCCTTGTAAAAAAAACAACATTATAACAAAATTCTTAAACAGAAAGAAACAAAAACAAAGTTATTTAGAAACGAAATATCACAGAATTTTCATGTACACTCTCACGTCAGCACTGTGATTTATATTGTAAAATATTTAGATTTATATGTTAAAAAATATTTGAGGAAGAAAAAAAAAACAGTATATACATGTATAAATAAACTCTACTTTCATCCACATAAAATACATATATCTGATATTGTACCTCGAGAATGATGTAAAAAAATGTGCTAAATTTAAATACTGTAGTCCATGTTTATTCATTTGGCAATTCTTGTTTTTTTGGTTTTTTTCCAAAAAAGGTGAAAAAATAATACTTAACTGATTGTATATTGATTAGCTATTTCTAGAAGAAACAAATCTTACACTCACATGTTCAACAATCACAATTTCTGTATAATTTGCAATGTAAATAAGCCATTTAGTGCTAAAATTTTCTACATCACAAAAATAATTAGAATTGAAATGTTTGTGTATAGGAAGGGAAATACATATATATCAGAATGCTATGCAGGCATTTTATAAATATTTCTTACATGGTTGAATTTTTTCCAACAAAAAGTTTTGAGGAGATATTTTATGAGTAAATGATAGCCACTGACCATGTTCCAGTGTTTAAAGCAATGAAATGAATATGGGTAAATATGGCATGAACAAATGGTTACAAAAAACATTAAGTTACAAAATTAAGAGCAGTTATATACCTGTGATCTGCTAAGAATGTATTTTTTCTTCCATACTGAAGGGTCATTTGCCCTAAATTTTACTCAATGTATAAATTTTCAGCAGTTTTGATTCATCAGTACCACAAAGGCCATTTTTCTAAACTTTACTCAATACATGAATTTTCAGCAGTTTTGAAGACATAAATTTTCAGCAGTTTCACTAGTGTATCAACAAAGTTACATCTTTCAATACATAAAAAATAGACTATACTTCAGTCTGATATTGTGAATACAGTAAATTATGTGTTTTAATATCTCATTTAACAATTTATGCTCAACCTTCTTTCAGAAATAAGTGATAAGGCACATTTCTGAAAATTTCTACAACAAATCTTTGTTGTTAAAAGTTTGAAAATTTAGATATGTAATTCAAACAAGCTAAATATACACAATTGAGATTTTACATGTTTATTAAATTGCTAAGAAATGAAGAGATTTCCTGTTCTATAAAGCTGTGTCAGAATTTAAGTGATTAAATTTCATTCTTGTGCAGTGGTCTCCGTATCAGCCATAGATGTCTCAGTTTCCTCCCTTTCTACACCTTCCTGCTGTTCAGAGGTGGCGCTAACATCAGTCTCCTCCTTCTGTACCGGAGCAGGGGGCGGAGTTTCAGGTTTCGGGCTCTCTGCCTCTGTTGAAGGAAATGATATCTTATAACATGATGTTTACCGGTTCTACACATAATTTTTATAATATCCTAAGTGGACCTATCAATTTCTCAATCTGGTTAAAACCATTTATCATTTTAGGTAAATATTTCAAAATAAATATGTACTGATATAGATGCCACTAGTAGACTAAGGGTTAAATCTTCAAAGTAACTAGTAATCTAATGATCGCTAGCTGCATGAATTCAAAGCCTGTCAGGGCAAGTCGTTGTTTTCTTGAGCAAGAAACTTTACACTCATTGCTCAGTACTGGTTGGTTCCAGGAACGGATTCAAAAGTGTGTCTATAAGCTTATAACTTCCTACACAATCGAACTAAAATAAATTCTGTATAAACCAAATCTTCAAAGAATTCTAAATTTTAACTTTTTAACTTCTAACTTCCTGCATAGGAAGGAAATCTATGCTTTCCAGAATAACAAAAATTCAGCCGGTTAAACTTAGACCATTTTAAGTGTATAAATAAAAATATCCATTTATCATAAAGGTTAGTAAGCACTTTACTTCTAAAAACCACAGTTTTTATCACAAACAATAAAAAAATCAAACAATGAGATAGGAAGAGAAATATCAAGTTGTACTGAAAGCATAATTGAAGATCACTTTATGAACAAAACTTGACAAAACCATCCTTAAATACACAATAAGTAAATGTTAAGTATAAGAATTTGCTGAATGAACAATGCAACATTGAAAAGTTAAAAATGAACTAAACCACATTTGATGGAATAACTTGAATTAATTGTCTACTCAAAAAGGTTTTTCTCTTTTGTGACCGGATTACAAAACTGACAGAACATGGAAACCCTATGTTTGTTTCAAGATATATATTGTGACATGCATTAGGTACCAAAAACTTTTTTACAACTTACTAGGTTCTGGGAATGGCTTGTCGAAGTCATCAATCCTTGAACTCTTCCACTCAATAAGCCTCTCTAACGCTGGAAGATTATTGATCACAATATGACTTCCAATCCCTTGTAGCATCTTGTGCGCCATGGCAACACCAAACTGTACTCTATTCACATTGATTGATGCTACTTCACCCATTGAACGAGACAAGTTGTACGCCTTGTCAAAATATTTTGTTGCTTCATCATATTTACCCTGAAAAGATCCAGAATTTGATATTCATAGTATAAAGTCTTAATGATTTCATCACTGTCTATATATCTAGTGATTATTTATTGCATTGGACAATCGGTAATTATTTATAATTTTGATTTGGACACATTGAAAAATGCATACTAGTATTGCACAGTAATAGCTATTTCAGTGTTACACATCTAAGTATATTTTGAAATATTATTTTCATTATATTCAATTGCCTATTATTTTATTTTATCAAGTTATAGAGAACAGGATTGCTAGGGAAATGGCAAATACATAAGAACAAAAGAACATGTTCATACTTATATTGTACCAAACAGTACCAAAGCAAAATATTAATAATTTGAATTAATGTTACTTCTCATTTAGTATTTTTGAAGGTATAAATACATCATTTTTACCAGATTATATACTATTGTTCTATTTACTAATAAACTTTAAATTTTTATCTTGATATCCATAAAATTGACAATAGACAGTTCCAAAAGCAGAATGCAGACAGTCCATTTAAGAAATTCAGCAAGATAAGGGATATCAGAATTAACATTCAGAGAAGAAAAAGAGAACAACAACGACTTACTAATGTGTTATAGATATTTCCAAGGTTATGACAAGCCTTGCTGTATGCATGTTCCTGTCCGCTCTTCTCGGCCACAGTGACAAAATGTTTCAAATACTCTATACTCTCCTCCACTCTACCTTGTCTAAAAATTAATATATAATATACGTTAGTTAGTACCACAATTTAACATTAACTTATACCTCATTATTCATATATGAAACTTTTAGTTGGTACCACTATTTAACTTTAACTTATACCTCATTATTTATATATGAAACTTTTAGTTGGTACCACAATTTAACCTTAACTTATACCTCATTATTCATATATGAAACTTTTAGTTGGTACCACTATTTAACTTTAACTTATACCTCATTATTCATATATGAAACTTTTAGTTGGTACCACTATTTAACTTTAACTTATACCTCATTATTCATATATAAAACTTTTAGTTGGTACCACAATTTAACTTTAACTTATACCTCATTATTCATATATGAAACTTTTAGTTGGTACCACTATTTAACTTTAACTTATACCTCGTTATTCATATATGAAACTTTTAGTTGGTACCACTATTTAACTTTAACTTATACCTCATTACTCATATATAAAACTAAATCTGGTACCACAATTTAACTTTAACTTATACCTCATTACTCATATATGAAACTTTTAGTTGGTACCACTATTTAACTTTAACTTATACCTCATTATTCATATATGAAACTAAATCTGGTACCAAAATTTAACCTTAACTTCTAATTCAATATTCAACCACTGGTAAGTAACAAAATTTTCCATGGCAGTATGTAAACTGAACTCTTAAAAAAACAAATCTTAACATCAGATTCGGGCCTGTTTGGTCTTAAAAAGATCTGTGACAATAGCCACTGATACAAGTTATTTTAAAATAAAGCTAATTTTGCACTTTCTATCATTTTGCATCTAAGTATAAATTAAATCCATACATAAATAACAAAATTAAGAAATTTAACCAAAATTCAGTACTTTGACCTTGACAGTCAGTCATATAAAGCTTAAGGTCATGGTCAGATTAACCTTTTAGAAGGCCTTGTCCAAACTGTTGTTTTGCCAAAGTATGAAGATAAGCCATTTATTAATTATCAAGTCAATTATAGCAAAAATCAGTGAAAATTCAATAATTGACAAGTTATTTTAAAATAGTAATTTTTTCACTTTCTATCATTTTATTTTATAATTTTTGGAATTTTAAGTTACTACACATTTAATTGAATCTACTGATTTGAAAGACTAAAATTAAAACAAAAAACCTCGGACTACAATACAAATCATTGTCTAAGTTGGTGAACATTGTTTACATGCAAAGTGAGGACAAAAAATATTCTGATTTACACAGCTTGCACATATACATAAGTGTTTTGAAGTGATTAAAAACTACCTGTTTTATAGCATTCTTAAATATATAAAGCATATTGAAGGTGCTTCAAAATTAACCATGTTCCTCAAAAAAAAAAAAAATATATACAAGGAAAACTTGTATGATTAGAATATGAAATGAGATGTAAACTTAAAATATGCATAATATCAAATTTATTATCATGATTAACCTTCACCTTACAGGTAAGTCTAGTTTAATCATTAAACTAATTACCATATATGCAAACTGAATATCAATGTTTTCAATATTAAATATTTTAAATTTTATTTCAAACATTACTGTGATAGTAAGTAAATTGAATCTGAATGTAAACTTTTACAATAACAACTGGTGTATCACTTGTTGATGTGCAAAATCAATGCAAACAATCTCTGGACATAACAAAATGGCTGCATGTCATTTACATAACATTTCTATCAAGACATGTTCACAAGTTTCACTAGTTACAACATTAAAAACCTACCAAATTTTAATCTTTATAGGATATATAACAAATAGATAATTATATAAGCATAACAATAAATAGGAAATGAAAGTCTGAGAAATCTATAATTATATATTTTAGTATTTTTAACACTCTTAAACATTTCAATCTAAAGATGCAATTTTTTTTGTTAAATGCAAGTCTTATACATACATTTATATAGATAAGACTTAAACATAAAAAAGAGAGAAAAAAGAAAGACAATAGTTAAAGAAATGTAAAGACTGCTTCAATGATGCTTTAATCATATGATAAAGTGGCTCATTAGCTTTACTGGTGGAGGAAGATCTCAGATGCACCTTATGTACTATATGTACTATTTCAAGCTCATTCAAGCACTTGGGTAGAACTACTGACTTTCTGTAAGCTGGATGGATAGCTTTCTAACATTAAAAAATCTAAAGTCCCTGGCAGATTTTGAACCCACATTTAATTAGCATGAGGGGCAAGTGGTTTGTAATCAACAACCTTAACCAGTACACTCATTGTAAACAAAAGAAATGTAAATATACATGTATGGTATAAACAATTATATCAAGATTATAATAATGGATATAGCTTGACACCATATAATTGCTTGGACAAAAACAGATTATCATAAATTACCTGGCATATGTCTTTGCTATTGCATCACAAGCTTTTCCTATACCCTCCTTCTCATCTGTTGATTGACATATTTTCAAATATGTATTCAAATGCTGGAATTAAATTGAGACATAATATTTCAAACCTTTCCAACATTATTAACTAGATGTTTTTATAGTTGTCTTGGGGTTTCATTTTCATTTTGTTTTGTTTGTCAGCAAAATCGTAGTTTGTTGCACACCTTTTTCCCTATTTATCTTATATTGAATACCCTGCCAATCTGTGTCTTGTAAAATGCATGTAAAGTTTTCACATTGTCTTCTAAAAATCAATAATGCTGCCTTTTTAAACAACACTCAAAAATCTATGCCATTGTGAACTAGGTACTAACTACATGTATATAAATTGTGTATTTTTTAATCTATAAAAAAAGTAAGTTTCTTTATTTCTTCTATTTATCTTTCATGATAATTTTCGATGTTTCAACATAATTTTCAACTTTTCAACATTTTTTTTAAACAAAATTCTGTTTCTTGGCTTTAACATAATCTTTATCATTCACAACTAATTGATTCCACAAAAAAAATTAGAAAATTTGGTTTAAAAGAAGGAGAAAAAATTCTGACATACACATATTTTTTTATTTCATTTTTCAAAGAATGGATGAGAGTATAGTTTGACTTACAACAAGTGCTGTATCATTTTCACCAGCTGTGTCAGCAGCAAGACCAAGTCTGTATGCAGCCTCACCCTCCATTTTCTCCTGGTGACCTGTGATTTATACATCAACATTATACAATGTGCTTGAATATTCTGTCTTTTAATAATAATTATGAAACATGATAAAAAGTTATGCTAATCATTCCAGAAAAGAACAAGTTGAATAGTTTTAATACTATTCCACATGAAACCTTCTTTAAGGATTAACTTGTATTGTTAAATAAACACCATTGGGTTTGAAGTATAAGCCACTCTTTCCCAATAATGGCAGGGTAGTTTGTTTATTTTTTGTTGGATTTTAAGTTAAACAGACACTATAATGGTCATATGACTTTCCAGCTATACTGGTTGAGGCTCCTCCATGTACCATTTCAGGCAAGTAGATAAACAAGCTGGATAGTTTCCTCACATATAAGAAAATTTTTAAGCAGGGTCCAAACCCAGTGACAATTGAGGGGCAAGTGGTTTGAAGACAACAACCTTAACCACTCAGCCACAGGCCACAGATGCCCAATAAACTAATGAATGGGTTGGATTGCAAATTAATGAAAAAAGTTCGATTATTTTTGAGTAACTGTATCTTCAGTGTTTGATCAGTATTTATAGGATTATGTAAAAGTACTGATGAGTAAATAATTATCACATAAGCACAGGACAACTGTTGTAAGCTACCTGCATGAGATTATCTGTTTCATGCATGCCTCTTACCATTGTAGTCGTATAACATAAGTAAATTTAACTTTAATCATGGGCTGCATTTCATAGAAAGTCCTAAGTGTATCCTAAGTCCTAGGACTTACAACAAACTATAGGACTGACTTAAGACTGTTTCAATAAGTATTTTCATCTTCAGTAAAAGCTTTAGACTTTTATCTAATTCATTCTCCTGAGAAAAGTTATAAAATACAATGGCATGCGCTTCAATCAGCAATGTGTAAATGTTCATCTGCATCACTATTCAAAAATTAAAGAGTCTCAACATAAGAGTTGTAATTAAGGACATTTTCTTTGGAACAAAAATTGTCTTAACTTTGGTCATAAGACATATTTAAGACTTAGGACTTTCCATGAAATGCTACCCAGATTGCAATGTGTTTTCATGCTTACTTTCTTTTGCAGAGTTATAAGCCTTGTTTAGATATTCGAGCATAAGTTCTACACTCTCTTGCTCTACACGTTCCCCTATGGTAGTGTATATACGAGCAAGATGTATACATGCATCTGTGTGGAATGATATACCATCAGCTGTAGTCCACTCTTTATTCTGAGCCGCAAGACTGTAATAAGCCTCAAAGTTCTCTGCTGCATTGTGGAATTCACCTGGAGCAAAAAATACCATTTTTGAATAAAGAATCTACTTATGGATGTATCTATTTCAATTACTTGTAGATGTATCTAATTCTAACTAAATTTTGAATTTCTACAAGAAATCATATCTGTTTCTTAAAGGCCCATTTGTATTATTGGTGCCCTGTTTCAGTTTCAAAAAGAGTAATCGTTGGCCATAAAGGTGAGCCATCTTTTACTTCTAACATGCTTTTAATCCAACATTACAAAACAGTATTACAGTATTTGCTATTTTTTTTTATGTATTAATTTCTGAGGAATAGTGTGCCTTTAATTTTGTCGCAAATGAGAAACCATATGAAAGATGACAAAAAAATATACAAAGGGACTTTCATATGAATTAGGTAATCATCCTGCTTATAAATACTGACAAAAGAAAGTTCTATGAACACATTCCATAATATAAAAAAATAGACAAACAAGTTCAACATTAAATTCTGAACACCTTTTTCACTATATCAGTGTAATAAAAAAGACTTTAAATTGTAAACTGAATTCCACCAATGAATGAAACAGAAATAAACTAAAACTTAACAAGAACCTGTAAACAAAAGTAACTTCCAATCAACATAAACTAATATCATGTAACTTAATCAACATGCAACTTTTACTTTGTCCAACTAAACAGTTTAAAATTTAACCTATAATACTACTGCCATTGGGGTCAATACTTTGCTCAATAACAAGTTCTCTTTCATGTGCTATAAATAAAACATCATGGTATATGTAAATAACGATATCTTCTAAAATGTTCAGGATGTGAATAAACTGAATACGAAATAATACCGGTATGTAAAAATTTATGTGAATATGACATATGTATATGAATACGAAATAATATCATATGTAAAAATTTATGTAAATATGACACATGTATGTAAATACGAAATCATATGTAAAAAATTATGTGCATAATTTAATATGTATGTGAATACGAAATACAATGTATGTAAAAATTTATGTGAATATGACATAACATGTATGTGAATACGAAATAAATATGTAAAAATTTATGTGAATATGACATAATATTTATGTAAATACAAAATTATATGTAAAATTTTATGTGAATATGACATATGTATGTGAATATAAAATAATATTTGTGTGATTATGATGTAATATGTATCATTGTATGTGAACAACAATTGACCTGCTTTGCTTATATTAAGAGAACACTGAACAACTTGATCAGCCATGTGAGTAGATGTATTTTGTGGATATAAGTTTGGGTTATATAAAGAATATGTTTTAGACCAAGCATATTCAAAAGCTAGGTTGAGAGATTTATGAACATCTTAAGGTGTTACTAAGCAAAGAAGAATGATACAGACTCCTAAAACCCTGCTTTAGTCAATGAGTAAATTACTGAAACATAATATCAAATATACCCTTTAATCAGTATAAAAACAAGAATGTTAAAGTAACAAATTATATTTGTGAATTATCCGAATTCACTGACCACAGTAATGAAGAAACAACTGTGACGAATTAAATAAATGTTTAACTGATGCCAAACGAAATGCTCTTATATTGAATTTTTCCACGATAAAGGACAAAGGGAGACAATTCTATATACAAACATAAACCCTAAACTCTCTACGGACCATTCTGTTCTGTATGTTGATCAGACTGTCTATACAGAGGCAGACAGTTTTCCTTAAAGAGTTGAGAACATGCATGTAAGAGAATCAAGCTAAACCTCTCAATGATTTATAATTCAATGTTAGTTTTGTAAGACTATACTATAAACTTACTGTTTTCTTCCTGTGCCAAGGCGACATTACAGTAGCCCTCAGCTTGTACTTTTCCACCATCATCTGTGACTAGAGCGGCAGTGTCTAGACATGTCTCGAAGAAATGATCTGCCAACCACTTGTCATTGGAGGACTGGAAATAACGAGCAAGTTCATACCTAGCTCTGTATACTTCAAGGAAATCACCTTCAATATAAATAGAAATTTTTCATGTGATGTATTATAGTCTATAATCATAAACCTGATAACAATTCAGTAGAATTGATTTCATTGATGAAAGTGTTAGATTAAACAGTTATAAAGTATTTTAAACCATTTAAACCATTTTAAACCTGTATACTGTCAGTTATACTTTGAAGCAATACCGGTACAAAGTTCTCAAATGGGGAGATCACTAAAGAGCAATGAAAACAACAAAAACAGAATGATTAACTACATTGTATGTGTAACATATCTCGCAACACCTAGAACCTATAAGCAAAATTCAATTCTCATCGCCTTAAGTATTGGAACCCAAAGACATTAAAAGAAAACAAGACACTGAGATGTAGTAAATGTTGTTCCATCAATTAAGATTGATGCCGTACTGGTATATATGTATGATAATTACTTTCTTTAAGAACTATTACATAAAAATGTCATTAATATCACTCATAATTAGTAATTGCTGGAAGATAAAAACAGGAAGGTGCACTTGTTCTAATTGCTTGATAGTGAAACAAGAGCTTGGATAATGTATGAATCAAGAAAGAAAAAGATTTCATTTAAAAAACATGACATAGTTAAGAGTCTAAGATAGTGACACAGGTTAGTTCTAAGTTCACAACAATATTTCATTCAAAATCCAAGCCAGAGTTACAGGTCTAGGAAAATGACCCTTACGTTGTCTTGAATACAAGAAATCATTTAAAGATTCAGTGAATACCATCAGAAGTTTTGATGACTGATTCTACAAACAAAATATCAAGCGGGAATTTTCTAGGTTCACAAAGGGCCATTACTTCCATGTCAGAGTTATGAGCTTTTGAAAGAGATCCTGTGACTTCAAGTAAATACCATCAGACAGTACTTAATTGCACTTTAAAAAGGATTTTTTTTATTTATAAAAAATTCACAAAAGGCTTTAAATAAGTTAAAATCCATGCCAGAGTCCAATGGACAATGATCACCAATATTATCCAAAAGACATGTAATCAGTTTTAAGTGAAAACCTTCAGTACCCAGAAGTTTTGAAGAATAATACTGAATGCAAATTGAAATCTTTGAATACGATACTTCTTAATTCACACAATAATAGATTTCAAATTCATGCCTCAGTTATGTGCCTTGGATAGTGACCTCCGGTAAGGATATTAAAGACATCGTTTTAGTGGTTGATAAGATATGAAGTTCTACAAGAACTTGCATTAACCAACAAAAACCGACCGGACACTGACACCCAGGTTCAGCAGGACAGTAACACAATTTCTTTGAAATGAGTTAATGAAATCATACCATTTCTCTGAGCTGTTTCAGCTCTTGTTAAATGAAGTTTTAGCACATCTAATTTATCATGTTGATCCTCAAGTAAAGTCATACTCCAAAGAAGAGATTCAGGTCCTGCTTGCACTCTTGTATCCTCTTGTCTTTTAATAAGTGCAAAAAGTTCACAGAATGACAAATGAAAACCATTTTGTAACATGTCCACACACAGATTATGTTTATAAGTATTCCGATATCTGAAAAATAAAACCAAATCAATTCATTGCTTTGATTATTTATTTTTTAAAGATTTACCTACATGTGCATTACATTTACAATAGTTTTCAAATTTCATTTAAATTCTGCTTCTAAAGTGATGAAACAACATTAGCATAAAATAATAATTGCCAAATAAACCAATACTGATAACTTATCAAGAACTTTTTGAAATTTCATATGTTAAACCATAAAAATTAAAGACAAACATATCTCCCTTTACAATATCAAACTTTTAAACAAAACTTATACTTATGCTCACATAGTGTAAAAAACTTGAAATAATAATCATAGTATGAAAAATGATATAAGGTTTATCCTTACGCTGTTGTCTGTCTTTTTGTAAGCATAGGCTGAGAAAATGCTTGATCTGGTTCAACAAAAATCTTTTTCTTTTTCTGTATAGGTTTTAATCTTCCACTGGGTGGTCCTTTTGGTGGTGCAGGTGCAAAGTGCACTGGCTGATTGTGTTTCATTGAGCCCATCATTCCTGTATTACCCCCACTCTTGGCTCCATGAATTGGGGGTAAAGTATGTGCGGCCGCCATTTTGGCCTCTTCTGCAAGTCCTATAAGATACATGTCAATAAAAGTGATAGTAATCAACTTGCAAATGTCAAACATTCATTTTACATACTAAGAATATTACGGATGTTTTTACCTGTTCAAAGAACAGTACAAGTCTCATCGAATGAACTGCTCTGGGATAGGGAGATTGGCCAAAAAAAGATAGGGAGATTGGCCAAAAAATGGTGTTCAGTGGTGCCAATATTGTTAAGTGGTGCCAATATACTTTCTATCTTCCAATAAAGTCTAACTCTGGTGAGAACTAAGACGATTTCGAGACGTTTCGGACCCAAGACATATCGGCCCCAAACTACCAAAGACGTTTCGGCCCCGGACGTTTCGGCCCTTTACCAAATCGGCCCCAGAATAAGTACTTTATTTTAAACCGATATATTAATAGCATTTCAAAAAAAAAATTAATCAATTAATATATATATTTAATCATTTAGTATAAAAGCTAGATTATTATAGTAGTAGGGGGAAAGTAATCAATACAAACAGAACAGAACATAAACTTTATTTGAAAAAATATAATACACAAAAAAAATTATAAACCATATATAGATAATATTTTATTTGAATGATAAAGAAGCAAGACATAAAACAATACTGCCAATTAGCATAATGTATAAACAGTTAATTAGTTACACTTTGAAAAAAATACGTATAGTTTGATTAAGATCAAAAGATGTTTTCTAAGGAAAAATTGTAAGTAACTTTCATCATCATCATCATCATCTTAAGTAATTGCATCACTTCGCAAGGAGTATACTCGCAATCGGATAAAAACTGTATATACATACGCAGCAGGCAGGACTGACTTTTTCCAAAATAAAAATAAAAAGTTTCACTATTTACAGTTTCTATTAAAAGAGTAAAAACAACTCCGTGATTAGTATTTTATATGTTGGCTGACCAGAGCTGATTGGAAAGCATCCAGGCTGGTCTGGTCAACAACGTCTTGCGGCAGCTTGTTCCAAAGCACGATGGTTGCGGGAAAGAAACTATTTTGGAAGATGGAGGTGCGTGCTCTGATTTGGCGGAAGCGTTGGTTGTGCCCTCTGACAGTCTTAGCATTGATAAGTGGAGGATCTGGTATAATATCTACAAGGTTGTGCATTATCTTGAAGAACATAGTTGTTCTGGTGTTGTTGCGCCGGTGTTGGAGGGTGTCCCATTTGGGGTCGGTAAGCATGTCGGTGACGCAGCTTGTTCGTGTGTAGTCTTGTTTCACGAATCTTGCAGCGCGACGTTGGACCATTTCTAGTTGGTTGATAAGACCCTCAGAGTGAGGGGACTGGTCAGACTTTCTTAATCAAGAAGTTTAAGTGGTTTGTTTTATAAGTAAGTAACCGGCCTTTATTGTTTGTTACACCTTTAAAAACATTAACGTATATCTAAATGGTTCATGAGATCAAAAGATAATAAATAATTATTTAAAGAATTAAAGTGTCATAATTGTTTGATTGTAATCAAATTAATTGTTGTTAATCAATCAAGCAATACACTATAGTGGGGCCGAAACGTCTCGCAGAAAAGGGCCGAAACGTCCAGGGGCCGATTTTTCGACTGGGGCCGATTTGGTTTGGGGCCGAAATGTCCTGTTTGCACTAAGACATGTTACACAGTCCTTGGCTCCTTGAAAAGAAATAGCTATTGTTATGGTATTCAGAAAAGTGCTATAAATTATACCTTCAATTTACTTAGTTAATGTGGCAAGACATTCTACTTACAACTAATTCTAAATGCATTTGTAAATCCACATACTTTTCTACTTCAAATAAGATGTCAATACATCGTCAATCTACTTTGATCTAAATCATTAACAGGTCTACAAAAGTACAAGTCAGTGCAATACCTCAAAAATAGATCGATGTAGGCATAATTTAAATCTTAATATTCTCAGTGTACAAAACAAATTATTTAGAGAATTTGATCACTTATTTAGAAAATATCAAACCAATTATCTAAGACAATAAGATCCAATAACTACCTTTGTTATCGTTTTTATAAACTCATGAAATTGTATGATTTGGCAGCCATTGAGCTTCCTGTTGTCATGACAAATAAGGACAGATGTGAATATTTTTAAAATATAATTAAATTTAAATTAGTTAAAAATATATTACAAGCAATAAATTTAAAGTAAACTCATTTTTATCAGATTTAAGATTACAAATACTATTAAATATTTTATTTATTTATATATATATTTTTAGTTTAGAACAGGAACGACAAGCACCTGTTTATAACTTTAACAAGCGCCTAGAAGAATTACGGACATTTCGGACCACGGACGTTTCGGACCAGACATTTCGGACCAGATTTTTGGGTCATTTCGGACCAGATTTTGGGACATATCGGACCATGCGATGGTCATTTCGAACCATGATGGGGACACTTCGGACCAGAACATATATTCCTTTTTATATAAAATTATTTGTTATTTCAGGATGTATTTACAATATTTGACATTTTTTATATTTTATGATATTCAAAATGCATGCAGTAAAGACCTGTCCGACGCGATTTTAACATTTTCTGATAAGCTTATATTACCATTGTTTTGTCTATCCATGCAAATACTTCTATCGTAATTCATTTATGTATTTCTATACGCTGACATTTTTTTAATATTGAAAAAAAAATTAAAACAATAATAAAATACCTTTAGATCTATATTGGTAAGCGTAGGATATACGCTGAATATACATATTTAAAGTCAACTTTATCCAAATTAAATCGTGATCTAGGTGGTATTAAAGAACAACGACATCCTTGTCAATGCAGTTTTTCACACGTTTTAATTGCTGAATAGAACTCGTTAAAGTTACGATTCACTCAATTAAAGAAGTATGTATGTAATTTTCACCTTATTTTACAACAAATATTTTAATTGATTGGATTAGATTGGAATGCGATTAAAGTACAGTTTTAATTAACAATTAACAACAAACAAATTGATTAATTGTAAACAAATTTGAAGTCCAGACTGCAATATAAAAAGATGTAGAATATGAAAAACAAGATCAACAAGGAAAGGCGGCGTTTGATTTCATCCTCATAACTTATACAGCTTACAAACTGAAATAGTTATATACATATCACTATGTCTACTGATCGTTGTGTACACTGTGAGATTGCCATGGATGTTGATCAGGTATGTGTGCATCTATTTATTTTAATGGTAAATAAAATGGCTATATATAAAAGCAAATTTTATTTAAAAAGTTTTTGTTTTTTTTTGTTAAAAACAATTGCTACTGAACAAAAAGAATTTGCACGGGCAAATAATGTTAAATACCCACACAGCCAAACCGATGATGCGTATGTTTATTTATTCAATATGTATTGCAAAGTATATGGTTTTAAATTGCACAAGTAAATAGACAAAGACATTTTTGCCGATTGACTTAAGTCAATAAATTATCCATCTTACAAAATACTATTACAGAATTGATAGTCATGTACATGTAAATTAATTGTTGTTTTCTTTTATAGGACGAAACGATAAACTACAGTGATGAGCGAATGAACAGGACCAGGAGTGTTATACGTATGCCGCAACATGTGAGTACAAGGGTTTCTCTCTTAGCTGAGGAGCTTTCACCAGCCAGATGTGAATATGATATGGAGACAGTCGTTGATACAACCGCTTTTGATGTAACACGGCCGAATCGTGAGATGTCCGACGACAATAATGGATTGTAAGTGAAGTATACAATTTACAATAATTTTGAAATGTATTGAAATAAATAGTGAATTGTCCATTTTGTATTATGGTTGCATATGGTTGCATATTAATGATCCTGTTTCCATTTCAGAACAATTGTGGACGAAACAGTACAAGATGTACCAGAAGATGCACCTGTCACTTACCAAATAGTCGTATGGGGTTCTACACGCGGCAACATGAAACTGGTTTCATCTGATGGATACACATTCGTGAAGAAGCGGACTCTTGTGAACGGAACAGTTGACTGGCGATGCAGCGTACGCGGTAGGAAAAGTGGGTGCCCAGCAGTTGTTAAACAGACAGGTTCGGACTATCGTGTCGCGGGAAGTGCTCATACACATGAATCAAAACCAGGAATATTGACAGCCGTTAAAGTTAAAACGGAAGTAAGTACATTACTATATGTATCCAGAATTCAGAGAATTATTATTATATGTTTTTATTATAATAAACATCAATCAAAGATGACATATACCAACAAGATCACGTTGGATAAAAAATATTGGACGTAAATATTCTAGTGTTTTGTGATCAATAATTATCTAAGTGTATACATTCAACGGTATGTATGTGTTTGTCAATAATGTATTTGTTTTATAAGAATATGTTGTAAATAATCTATTTCGCCATGTCTTTTTTGTAAATATTTTAAAATAAATTGTTTGCAAACGTGTGTCATTAAAACATTGCTTGTTTGTTTTTTAATTTTCTTCATTTATAGTGCAAAATATATAAATCTAAATCGGGATAGGTGTAAAATCGTCCCATTGTGTCAATATATATATAAAGTTTCTTTAGTTTATCGAATAATTGATGCCTAATATATCAAAAACTAATATTTAATCTGGTCCGAAATGTCCAAAACAATGGTCCGAAATGTCCAACACATGGTCCGAAATGTCCAACACATGGTCCGAAACGTCCAAATATCTGGTCCGAAATGTCCCAAAATCTGGTCCGAAGTGTCCCGAAATCTGGTCCGAAGTGTCTGGTCCGAAACGTCCATGGTCCGAAATGTCCTATTACCGCCTAGAAGATCTTAGTAAATTACTGAGGTTTTTATTTTATTTTTAGTAATATCTAAGAGAGACACATTGAAATTTGATAATTTTCAGTTTAGCATCAAAATTTGTATTTGTTTAATCGGCACTTGATTTGCACAAGATACGTTAATACCATTTTTATATCGATTTTAACTTATAGAAATCGTCTTGGTACATGGACGCTCATTTAAATTATAGGTGCTGAAGTACTAAATGTAGGTTGTCATTATTGTTATTTTATATACATGTACCATTTTGTAACATCAAGGATTACAGTACAATAAATAGTGATATACCTAAAATATGTTACAATTGTTTCAGAAGATATGCAATGTGAAAGTAGCAAATCCTATGGAACCGGCAGTTAAGCCACATTCATAGAGCTGTCTTGAATGATGGTAAATTTTGTATCGATATATCGAGAGACAAATATCAACAATATATCGATATATCAACTTGGACAAGTTGACACAATGAAAAACATTTAAATGTGTGTTATAAATTGGGTTCATGGTGTTTTGCATAATTGTATCGCTTGATAAATTCACTGTTTGTCGTTTGGATGCGCATCATTAAATCACTCGGGCTACGCCCTCATGATATAATTCCTCACATCCGAACTCCAAACAGTGATTTTATAGAGCGATAAAATCAACGATTTAGATATATTATTCTGATTCTAACACAACATTAAGAAATGATTGCTGCTATATCTGACATATAGCTAAAATGTGCCTGATTTGTTTCCGTACTTATTTCAGCGGGTTGCATATTTTAGATAGAGTTCACCACCGAATGTATGAATGTATTCTATGCTTAATGAAGTTCCAATCACCCGGTAAGACACAAAAAGCAGCTTTCGTTGGTGTGTACAGACACCAGACATGTTTCCAGGCATGCTCTTAAAGAGTTCATTTTGAAGCACAAAGTGGAAATGATTTACCTCCATGCAATGTCCAATTTGGAGTGTTAGCCAAAGATATGAATTTGAGCCAAAAGTAGGTCACTGTACGGCAGTCAATGAGAAACTAGATACACAGTAACCTGAGACAATAATGAAAGGGTAGCACTAATAAGGGCTGTTGGTGCAAAAGGCTATCTATCTGTGCTAGGAGCTCACCATCTTGTAGTCTCTGTCTACTTTGTAGAGCTCCCATCTGCATTAGTCAGGACACTGGCAGCTGATCCGCAGTACAGGTTCTGATCCTTTTGTGCTATCCCAAGTTTTCAAATCTTCTGCCAATGCCCTGTGCTTTCTCAATGACGAGCACGCTCCAAGGGGAAGTGAGAAGGCTCACCACTGTGAGTGGTTTATATATGGGATACTTTCCTAAATGTTAATTTACCACCTTTAGAAAAAAAAAAAACAATACAAAAATGGCAACATGTATGACATTTTTTTCTTAAGGTTTGTTTAAAGATGACAAGTCACTGGGGCGAAATTCCTATAGTTCAAGAGAGCGACCCAGCAACAGCAGCTATTGAAAGAGAGCAGATGACAAAACTTAGACCGATGGAATTAGAGGGACCAAGACTTCATCAGCCATCAAGCAGACATTACCCACCTACAAATGAGTAAAGAGCTTGTTTATATCAAGATGATATATTTACACAATGCATGCACTTTTAATGATTCCACTTAATGTATTACTGAATATTTTATCTGTTATATTTCTAATATAAGGAACATCATGCCAGGGCATTATAATGTCTCAAAATCTATCACTGTTGTTGAGCTTGAAACTCTTAAAAGGATAGAAAAAAGACAAAGCATGATGAACCTTTTATTAGAAATATGAAAGCAATTCTCATACCTGTAATAATTAAATGTTATTTCAATTATAGAATCTAAAGGTTATGCAGTCATGTAGTTTGTTTTATTTAACAATTATTAACAATTGCCAAATATTAGTGTATATTAACAATTCCTATATGTCTTTAGTCTCGAACAATACATTTATATATTAAACATTTTCAATAAAGTTTTTTATAAAAGAAAGTATGAGGTACATGTATTTGAATACAAATACTATAGTTACTTCTTTAACATTTATTATTATTTTAATGTATTTGCTTTAATTTAAATGATAGAGACATAAACAATTTCAATTAATTATTATTATCTAATTAAAATATTTTGACTTAAAGTGTACATGTACTTTGATGTGGAGAAACATTGAATGTGTTTCTTTCTAGTACATGTACATAACATTTCTATTAAGGGGTTAATGTCAAACATGGCGGCAAATATTTATTGGTGCATGCTAGACTGGGTGCAAATGTTTGTATCCTGTAAATTGTGTAATAAGTCGACTATTCGAAGAATATGAGAGCTATTGTAGTCACCCCGGCGTCCGCGTCTGCGTTGGTTAAAGTTTTTTGTAAAGTCAAATATCTCAATTATTACTTGAGATATTCAATTGAAACTTACAATACTTATTTTTAGTAACAAGGTACATCAGATTGACAAGTTGGATAACTCTGCCTACAATATTGACAGAATTATGCCCCTTTTTAATTTAGAAATTTTGGTTAAAGTTTTTTGTAAAGTCAAATATCTCAATTATTGCTTGAGATATTCAATTGAAACTTACAATACTTATTTTTAGTAACAAGGTACATCAGATTGACAAGTTCGATAACTCTGCCTACAATATTGACAGAATTATTTGCCTCTTTGGAACTTAGAAATTTTGGTTAAAGTTTTTTTGTAAAGTCAAATATCAGAGTCAATTATTGCTTGAGATATTGAATTGAAATTTAAAATACTTTTTTTTATAGTAACAATGTACATCAGTTTGCAAAATTGCATAACTCTGCCTGCAATATTTGCAGAATCATTTGCCCCTTTGAAACTTAGAAATTTTGGTTAAAGGTTAAAGGTCTTCAAAGATATTTACTTGAAACTTTACACATGCACTTTGGGTCATAATTGGAGGGTCATAATTGTATGTCACTGACTAAGTTCCATAACTCTATCTTGCATTAAGGCTGATTCATATCCCCTTTTCTACTTAGTCTCTTGGTTAATGTTTACATGCAAGTTTTACATATCTCAATAACTATTAAAGATATTTATTTAAAACTTCACATATGCATTTTAGGGTCATAATTGTAGGTCACTGACAAAGATCCATAATTCTATCTTGCATTTAGGCTGATTTTTCTCCCCTTTTTCAACTTAGAAATGCATGGTAAAGTTTTGCTTTTAAGCTGTTATCTCAATAACTACTGAAGGGTTTGTGCCTTTTTGGGACAATTTTATGCATTCATATAAATAACAAAACAGTGATTTACTTAATAAAACATCTTGATAACAAGCCTTTGTACATTTTCTGTGAAATTTATGTATTCATAGGTAATTAGTATTATTATACTCAATAAAACATCCTTGTGACATTACCTTCGGAATAGTCAAGTCAATACTGTATAATTAGACTCTCTCTAAGGCCTATAACATGAATTTATAAAAAAAAATTAGCCCTTTTGTGAACTTAAAAAATTTAACATTATCAAGGCTCTTTTACCAACAAGCACTTTGAATAGTCGAGCGTGCTGTCCTACCGACAGCTCTTGTTATTTGTTCCTATACATGTAGGTCCATTAATTAAATATTTCAGACCATTGCCTGCAGAGAAGTTTCAGATAGACCCCATTGTTCTACATACTATACAATTATTACAACATGCAAGAAGGTTACGTTCTCTCAAAAATAATCTTTTACAACATCAACAACAGCTACAGCAAGATGTGAGTATACATGTAGTTTTTCTTCATTTGTAAATCAACAAAATCATATTGTTTTTGCCAGGTTTTACTGTAGATAACCTAGGGAGTTTTTTTGTGCTTAAAATTAATTGTGTCAGAGTTTTTCATAAAACCACTACTACCAACACCTCCACCACCACTACCTCAACCACTACTGAAAAAAGACTGGATGGCAGAATGCAAGCATGATACAGTCAAAGGTCAAGGTCACAACTAGAGGTCAAATGAAAAGGGTGTTTCAAGAGCAAAAGTTCTACATACATTCGGAGATTTTAAAATAACTCGGCACTTTTGTTCTCCAGTGCAGTATATAATGCACAAAATTCAGGTGCCTGCAGCAAGGTTTAAAATCACATCTATAAGTCAACAGATAAAAGATATAGATATGCATATAGGGACATTTTAAAAGTCTTGAATTTAGTGATATACAAAAAGTATTCACCAGCATGAGGCTGAGTCTTGCCAGCATAATCAATGTATGCAACATCAGGGTCACCAAAGATGATGTGATGTCCTGATTTTGTCTTTTACATATATACAATGTATACAGATGTAGTTGGATTTTAGCATATTACTGGATGCAAATGTTTGCAACCATTAGATGAATGTCTCCTGCCTGAACCAGGTCTTTAGTTTACTGGTCAAGGTCATGATTAGAGGTCAAACCAAAATGATTGTTCATAGTGTCCTGTATTCACAAAAGTATTATCCAGTAAATTTAGACAATTGTACCGGCCATAATTTATATGAAATATTGCATTATTTATCAATATATACAGAAAATAATAGACTTTGACACAACATATCCAGATGCACCACCTATACCAGAGTACTCAGGTCCACCAGCAGTGAAACAAAAACTGCTACATCCAGTTCCTTTTATGAACAAAGATATGGAAAGGTAAATTAAATGAAATTTTTTTCTTTTCCTTTTTCTAAAAGACTTATTTTACATCTAAATTATATTATTGACTAGTTACTGATTTTACAAATGAACTATTACACAGGGTAAACATGTAGCATTGAAAAAGACATGCATTACTGAACAAAGTCAATATTTAGTATGGACTGGTTTATTTTATTTCCCAATGAGGGATGTGTACAGTCATGGCTTTGTCCATACCTCTGTCTGCCAGTCTTGAAATTTGTCTGGAGTATTTATCAGCAGCAACTAATTTGAATTTCTTTGAAACTTCATTGTAAGCCAACAGGTGTTACATTATCCTGTAAAATGGTTTCCAACAAAGTTATGCCCCTTTAATGCTTTTGAAGCATACTATTTCTCAGCAATAACTAACAGGAATTCAATGAAACTTTAATGGAAACTTCTTTACCAAGAAGAGCTGTGCATATTAGCAGCATGATTGGGTTCATTAATATTTCCAGAGTTATGCCTTTTTATGTCTTTTAATTTGCCATCATTTGTCTAGATTACTCCAAAGCTTTTGAAGAAATTTGTTGAAAAGTGTTCACAATGATAAAATACACTGTTTTGCATGTGAATTATCTGTCTGGTATAAAGTAAAATGATATATTTTTGCCCAAAAGCAATTTATGAGATTTTGTTTTAAGAAAATAACAGAGAATTAATTGATTATCCTCCTAAATGGAGATATACGCCTACTGTATATATTGATGCCTATGTGTTGTTTTCCACACTGTTTGAACTGTGACATGTACATACATAACTTTTGAAGCAGTTACAATTATGCAAAAGAACACCCAAAATTCTGTTAAGCATTTATCTGTAATTATATCTCTCACTATGTTTTTGTATATTCAGTTAGCAAAATTGCATTGAATATTCATTATAAATGTACTGAAGAAATATATTCTTCAACAATATGTTATGTGAAATTTTCATTTTCTGTTTTTAGACTTCTATGTATATAACATAGTTAAGGAGGGTTTTTCTATTTATAGTGACTTTGTTCTTGGAAAGAGTGAGCCATTACCTCAGATAGATGATGTAGCTTGCCGGCATTTACTACGGAGATCTGTTGCTGCAATCCTGGCTCATGCCGGATTTGACAGTATGCTTTATACATCTATATAGTAATGTACTGAATGTCCTTATTTTCATTACATTTACAAAAAAATGAATTCATTTCATCCATAATATAAAGGTTCACACTTGAAGTGCTTAAGACTGAATACTTATGTTTGACTTATGAAATTAAGACTTTTGTTATGCCAGACAAATGAATTAAAGGCACCCGTTATGTTTGACTTGTGAAGTAAAGGCACCAAGAGATGTTGTTCAAATGTTTTAAAGCATTGCCAAATAATGAACAACTACATTTCTATCCACAAAAAGCTATTAATCAATGAAAACTTCTCCAACTTGTTAATTTAGTCTATAGAGGCAGATTTGGCCTTATGTTAAAGTATCAAAATTTTAACCATGGGATTATTGTTTTGCCCCTACATGTGTCACACCCATGCATTCTTAATTTCTTATAGGACAATAGTAAATTTTATTAGTTCCAAGTACGGCTGTATGCTCGTATCCCGACAAAGACTTTGGTTTCTTTCATGTGAGGAAGCTATCTGGTTCTACTCAGGTGCCTGTTTGTGCCTGAAATAATGCACGTAGGGGAACCTTAAGGTCTCCTTCAACAGTAAATTAAGACAGTTACAATGTGACCTATACTGTATGTCGGTGCAACATAAAAACCAACCAAAAAGAAAAAAATTTCCAAGAACCAGACTTGGGAGGGTGGTCTCAGACAAGCTGAATGCTTTCCACAATGAATCTAAAACACATATGTGTAAGGTTAAGTTGCTTATGTCAGCTAGTAAGTACAGTAACATTATGTTGCAGGTTGTGCAGAATCTATACTAGAAACAATGACCGACTTTACAGGAGAATATTTCACACAGTTTACCAGACATCTTCGTGCAGCAGCAGACAACCTGGCTGGTCATGAATCAACAGGTTTCCCTGTAAGATTTGGCTGATTATAGTCAGGAATGTTTAATTGTTTAATATCAATTTAAATACAGTGATAAGCTGCAAATTACTATTTGATTGGCACTTATTTTCGTAGTTTTAGTGAATGGGTCACAATCCATGTATTTAAGGTATTACCATCCTAATGCCTTACCTCTGCTTTGAAGAGTATTCAAATAGGCTAGAACTACTGTTAACTACATTGAAACTGAAGGCTATGGGTTCAAACCTCAGATGGGTCAACTGTTTTTTTTTCTTTTAACATCATTTATGTATCTCTCCATCCATTTTGGGTAGAAAAAAGTGTTTATTTTATTATTTAATTTATAAAGGTATTTATTGGCTAAATAATGCTAAATCTAGTAATAAATATGGTACCTGATATTTTCAAAGTGTAATAAAATCAAAACTAGATGGTAAAAGTATTTAATATTTTACAAGATCAACCAATATACTTTTTTAAAAATTTAGGGAAACTTTGAAAACAGGCCACTCATTCCTGTAAATTTTAAGGATTTTTTTAATTAGGCTCCCTAAGTAGGAAAATGGTCAAACACGTGTAAAAAATGGGTGGGGTAGAGTAACATTTTTATACATACATGTATTTTATAAATTTTGAGTAGAAACCATAATTTTGTTTATGTTGATTGTTAGCTGAATAGTACTATTTGTTTCTTACCAAAAATTAATGGGAAAACGTTTTTCATTAGAATGTTATTGCAGATTTAAAGGTTACTCATTTCTGAAAAAGGGTCCTCATACACCCTAGCTTCAGTTCATAAAAGTGGCCATAACTCTATTTCCGTACGGTAAAGTTTGTTTAAATTTTGCATAGAGGTGTACTTTAAGGTATATATCTGACCTATGATATAATTTTTTCAGTTCCTTATAGTGCCCGTTAGGGTTGTAATACCTTAAGATTTTGCATTGCAGTTTTTGCATTCTTCTTTTTTGCACAAATAGACAATCAACAAGTTTAAGAACCCACAATAATGTCCTTTGTGTCAAAACCAAAACATTTCATGCTCATGAAAATAAAGTAAATTCACAGAACACTATTAAACAGCCATTCTGTATTACAAAAAAGTATTTTCTTAAGATTTTGCACCTGTTTGTATGGATTTTAAATTCTTGTTGTGTCCAAATTTCATAACAAGAAAATGTATACATCAAGTTGAATAAAAGTACTGGGTAATAAGTCATTAGTTTTTAATATTTTGATACCTTCATTTTACAATTCCAAATTATCGAATATCCAAATCAAACCCATATTTTACTCTATCTAGCATAATTTTCAATTTTCGATTCCAAAATGTCAATATCAAACATTTTTCCAATGGAATCATAGAAGGTTTTCTCATTTTCATATTGAATTTCAGGATATAGTAGAACAGGTGTTCCAAGAAATGAAAGTTGGCAGTGTTACGTGTCTGCATGATTTTTATCACAAGCGTGTGATAAACTACCACAAGAATATGGAGGAACAATGTCAGCAACTTGATGAGGAGTATGAGAAGCTGAAGGAACCCATGTTACAACAAAAACCTCCAGATACTCTCTCAGTTATCAGGTAATCTTTTAATACATATATACTAATTTATGAGTAAGGGCAAGTTGTACTGTAAACAGATGAATGTTAAAAGTTTTCAAGAAAAACAACATACTATGTCTGTCACCCTGAAGTGTAAAATTTCATGAATTGACATCAATTGACAAAAGTTGGTTTTTAAACATTTATCTTACCTGTATGGGTCAGAATCCTAAGGCATGTGTCTTATTCAAAAGAAAGATAACATTGGGCTACTTGTAATTTCCAGTTACTTATCCTGTTACATTATGCAAGTTTTGATGTAGGCAATGGTGAAAAGTTGTATCAGTTGACAGTTTTGTGTTTATATAATTATTCATAACTACTATGTTCATATTGATTTTTTTTTTTACAAGTTGAATAGATAGAAAATCTTGTTTCAGGATTAAGGAGGAACCATCTGAAATACACTTCCCCGAGCTTGACGAGATTGATGAAGTCAATAATGCTGAACAACTTCTTAACTTAAATGGTATGTCATATGTAGAGTATTTTTCTAGACATTTAAATAAAATTGGAAAACTATTTTGTATATATGATATTGTATATTTGATATATATGATAGATGTATAAATCAAAATGTATTTTATTTGTATATCTCATTTGCAGCAATCATGTCCATTCAATGCCTGAAAAAAAGTGATGTACCAGTAGTTAATTTGCTTTGAAAAAGGTTTCCATGCAATAAACATGTAACCTTTGCTCTTTATGGAAAAAAAATTACTTTCTGATTGTTAAATTTAACTTTATTAAAGAAGATGAAATAATTGCCCCATTTGTGATTTAGTTTGGTTTTTCAATCATTTTTGTATTTTTAGCTCACCTGAGCATATGCTCAGGGTGAGCTATTAGGATCACTCTTCTTCCGTCGTCCGTTGTCCGTTCACACTTTTAAAACGACTGCTCCTCTGAAACCATAAAGCAGATCATAATGAAACTTCACAGGGATGTTCCTTGTGTGAAGCCTTAACAAAGTTGTTCAAAGAATTCCATTCCATGCAGAACTCTGGTTGCCATGGCAACCAAAAGAAAAAACTTTAAATATCTTCTTCTAAAAAACCCAAAGAGCTAGAGCTTAGATATTTGGCATGAAACATCTTCTAGTGAGTGTCTACCAAGTTTGTTCAAATAAAAGCCCTGGGGTCAAAATTTGTCCCGCCCCAGGGGGTCATTGATTTTCACTACATGCATATAGTAAAAACTTAAAAAGTCTTCTTTTAAAGAACCCAAAGAGCTAGAGCTAAGATATTTAGCATGAAACATCTTCTAATGGGTGTCTACCAAGTTTATTCAAATAAAAGCCCTGGGGTCAAAATTGGCCCCGCCCCAGGGGGTCATTGATTTTCCCTATATGCATATAGTAAAAACTTTAAAAAAATTCTTTTAAAGAATGCAAAGAGTTAGAGCTAAGATATTTAGCATGAAACATGTTCTAATGGATGTCTACGAAGTTCGTTCAAATAAAAGCCCTGGTGTCAAAATTGGCCCCGCCCCAGGGGTCATTCATTTTCCTTATTTGTTTATAACAAAAACTTAAAAGATTTTTAAAAAAAAAAAAACAAATGGCTAGAGTTTAGATACTAAGCATGAAACATCTTCTAGTGAGTGTCTACAAAGTTTGTTCAAATAAAAGCCCTGGGGTCAAAATTGGCCCCGCCCCAGGGGTCATTCATTTTCCTTATATGTGTATGACAAAAACTTACAAAATCTTCTTTGAAAAAACTCAAATAGCTAGAGTTTAGATATTAAGCACGAAGGATCTTCTAGTGAGTGTCTACAAAGTTTGTTCAAATAAAAGCCCTGGGGTCAAAATTGGCCCCGTCCCAGGGGACATTGATTTTCCTTATATGTGTATAGCAAAAATTTAAAAATCTTCTTTGAAAAAACCTGAATAGTTAGAGTTCAGATATTAAGCATGACACATTGTCTAGTAAGTGTCTACAAAGATTGTTCAAATAAAAGCCCTTGGGTCAAAACTGGCCCTGCCCCAGGTGTGTCATTGTTTTTAACTATATGTGTAAAGAAAAAAACTTGAAAAAATCTTCTTTTAAAAAACCCAACAAGCTAGACCTTAGATGTTTAGCATGAAACATCTTCTAATGGGTGTCTACCAAGTTTGTTCAAATAAAAGCCCTGGGGTTTAAACTGGCCCCGCTCCGGGGGCCTATATACAGGTGAGCGATTTTAGGGCCATCATGGCCCTCTTGTTATTTATTATCTTTGTAGTGTCTGTAAGATTTGAAATGATATGTGCAGTTAACAAATTGTATTTTATCTATTTACAATATATATTACAGATCTTGGTGGGTTTGAGATAACAGTGGAGCATGAGTCAGCTAGTGGTCTTACAACAGAGGTCGAGTCAAAATGGTCACATGTGAAAGCTGAACATGGAGATCCTAAGTAAGATAATTTATGTGGCTTGTTGTTTTTTGTTCACTGGTTAATGAAGTTAAAAATGTATCTGACTACTATGGGTCAGTAACTTTACTTTGAATCTTCGCAAATATTTTGGTAATTAAGTGCCAATTTTTAACTATATCAGTAAATAGAGCTTGCCAAATTTTCTTTACCTGCATAATTAGGCATGTCTGTTTTTCCTTTAGTGAATAATATTGAATTGAATGTCATCAAGGTGATGAAATGCATTTACTTTTCAAAAATTTGTATTCTATACACAGTAAGAAACCATAAAAGGCACATTATGCCTCAGAAATGCTATCATTTTTATTTCTCAAAGACTTTAAATATTTGGTGTCTTGTTACAAGTTCCACAAAAAATACTTATTTGCCTTATAAATGAACTATCTTTGCATCTTTTGCCTTGCTAGCAATTGGTATAATTATAATGAATTAGTATTTTGTATGGAAGTTAAAATACTATTTGTTTACATTTGCTACCTTTACAACACATTACCGCACATTCAGCACTACTTTCTTCAGCTGTTAAATTATGTACATGTTCTAAATCCATTATTAACCCATTACTTCATAAGCATTTTGTGAAAAATGGCTGTTTTCATTGAAAAGTCTCCTGTTACAAGTTCAAATTGCTATAATACTATAAAAACTGCTTCAACACTAATCAAACTTGGCACAAATGTTGACTGGACCATTGCCCTTGCAACAACATGCTCAGGCTTAAATTTTCTGTTACCATGGCAACGAGGGGACATCTCAAAATTGCCAAAAATCACTATTTTGCGTTGATTTTTTCCATCAAAATTGATTTCAAAGTGCTGCAACTTCTCAATGGATTGAGATAGAGTCAAATGCTTTTCAGCGTTGGTTTTACGTTACCTTATGATCAATCTGGGGTCATTTACAGCCTCTCACAAGTCCAAAATTTTTTAACAACATTTCTCAAACAAAAACAAGTGTTTGGGGCCTAAATAAGGCATTTTTTCATCATTTGAGACAACAAAAAGGGGGGGGGTGTGAAAAAGGCGTTAAAAGGCGTGTATATGAAGTAATGGGTTAAAACATTATTAAACAGTGTTTTACATTTCTAAAGAATTTAATAAATATGGATTTCTGGGGCATAATGTGCCTTTAAGACAAATGTAAGGCTACCTGTAAGTTCAAATTTCCATGAGATAAAACTGTATTGTCAACTGTATACATAGTTTAACTGCCTTCTGGGGCGTCTGTAGCCAGGTTATTAGATCATTGACTTCAAACAACTTGTGCCTCACCTCTGGTGGGTTTGAACCTGCAAGGCACTTTGGATTCTTTCCTGTGAGGAAGCCATCTATCAAGCTAGCTAACAGAATGTCAGTGGTTCTACCGGGGTGCCAACTCATGCCAGAAATAATGCACAGAGGATCACCTGAGGTTGTCCACCACAAGTAAAGTTGGAAAGTCACAATATGACCTGTATTGTGTTTGTGCGGTGCCCTTTCTTTTCATGTCCTAAACTTAATTGTAATACCAGTATTTTAAGCTCACCTGTCACAAAGTGACAGGGTGAGCTTTTGTGATCGCTTTTTGTCCGGCGGCCGTCCGTCCATCCGTCCGTAAACTTTTACTTTAAATGACATCTCCTCATAAACCACTAAGCCAATTTCATCCAAACTTCACAGGAATGTTCCTTTGGTGGTCAACTTTAAAAATTGTTCAAAGAATTTGATTCCATGCAGAACTCTGGTTGCCATGGCAACCGATAGAAAAAAACTTAAAATATCTTCTTTTAAAAAACCCAAAGAGGTAGAGCTTAGATATTTGGCATGAAACATCTTCTAGTGAGTGTCTATCAAGTTTGTTCAAATAAAATCCCTAGGGTCAAAATTGGCCCCGGCCGGGGGGTCAATGATTTTCCCTATTTGCATATAGTAAAAATTTAAAAAATCTTCTTTTAAAGAACCTAAAGAGCTAGAGCTAAGATATTTAGCATGAAACATCTTCTATTGGGTGTTTACCAAGTTTGTTCAAATAAAAGCCCTGGGGTCAAAATTGGCCCCGCCCCAGGGGGTCAATGATTTTCCCTATATGCATATAGTAAAAACTTAAAAAATCTTCTTCTAAAATACCCAAAGAGCTAGAGCTTAGATATTGGGCATGAAACATGTTCTAATGGATGTCTACCAAGTTTGTTCAAATAAAAGCCCTAGGGTCAAAATTGGCCCCGCCCCAGGGGGTCATTGATTTTCCCTATATGCGTATAGTAAAAACTTAAAAAAAATTCTCTTAAAGAACCCAAAGAGCTAGAGCTTAGATATTTGGCATGAAACATCTTCTAGTGAGTGTCTACCAAGATTGTTCAAATGAAAGCCCTGGGGTCAAAATTGGCCCCGCCCCAGGGGGTCATTGATATGCATATAGTAAAAACTTAAAAAAATCTTCTTTTAAAGAACCCAAGAGCTAAAGCTAAGATATTAAGCATGAAACATCTTCTAATGAGTGTCTACCAAGATTGTACAAATAAAAGCCCTGGGGTCAAAATTGGCTTCGCCCCAGGGGGTCATTGATTTTCCCTATATGCATATAGTAAAAACTTAAAAAATCTTCTTATAAAAAACCTTAAGAGCAAGAGCTTAGATATTTGGCATGAAACATGTTCTAATGGATGTCTACCAAGTTTGTTCAAATAAAAGTCCTGGGGTCAAAATTGGCCCCGCCCCAGGGGGTCATTGATTTTCCCTATATGCATATAGTGAAAACTTTAAAAAAATTCTCTTAAAGAACCCAAAGAGCTAGAGCTAAGATATTTAGCATGAAACATCTTCTTATCAGTGTCTACCAAGTTTGTTCAAATAAAAGCCCTGGGGTCAAAATTGGATCCGCCACAGGGGGTCTTTGATTTTCCCTATATGCATATAGTAAAAACTAAAAAAATCTTCTTTTAAAGAACCAAAGAGCTAGAGCTAAGATATTAAGCATGAAACATCTTCTAATGAGTGTCTACCAAGATTTGTTCAAATAAAAGCCCTGGGGTCAAAATTGGCCCCGCCACAGGGGGTCATTGATTTTCCCTATATGCATATAGTAAAAACTTAAAAAATCTTCTTCTAAAAAACCAAAAAAGCTAGAGCTTAGATATTTGGCATGAAACATGTTCTAATGGATGTCTACCAAGTTTGTTCAAATAAAAGCCCTGGGGTCAAAATTGGCCCTGCCCCAGGGGGTCATTGATTTTCCCTATATGCGTATAGTAAAAACTTAAAAAAATTTCTCTTAAAGAACCCAAAGAGCTAGAGCTAAGATATTAAGCATGAAACATCTAATCAGTGTCTACCAAGTTTGTTCAAATAAAAGCCCTGGGGTCAAAATTGGCCCCGCCCCAGGGGGTCATTGATTTTCCCTATATGCATATAGTAAAAACTTAAAAATCTTCTGTTAAAGAACCAAAGAGCTAGAGCTAAGATATTTAGCATGACACATCTTCTAATGGGTGTCTACCAATTTGTTCAAATAAAAGCCCTGGGGTCAAAATTGGCACCGCCCCAGGGGTCATTGATTTTTCAGTAAAAACTTAAAAATCTTCTTTTAAAGAACCCAAAGAGCTAGAGCTAAGATATTTAGCATGAAACATGTTCTAATGGATGTTTACCAAGTTTGTTCAAATAAAAGCCCTTGGGTCAAAATTGGCCCCGCCCTAGGGGGTCATTGATTTTCCCTATATTGCATATAGTAATTAAAAACTTAAAAATCTTCTTTTAAAGAACCCAAAGAGCTAGAGCTAAGATATTTAGCATGAAACATGTTCTAATGGGTGTCTACCAAGTTTGTTCAAATAAAAGCCCTTGGGTTAAATTGGCCCTGCCAGGGGGAGGGGGGCAAAAGTCATTGTTTTTCATTATTTGTGTATAGTAAAAACTTAACATCATGAAACATCTTCTAATGGGTGTCTTCCAAGTTTGTTCAAATAAAAGCCCTTGGGTTTAAACTAGCCCCGCCCTGGGGGCCTATGTACAGGTGAGCGACCCCAGGGCCATCATGGCCCTCTTGTTCAAAGGAAAGCATTTGTTTGGGGCCCAAATAGGACATTTTTTTCAATATTTGAGGCCTCAAAATGGGGAAGGGGGGGGGGTGGAAAGTGCGTTGTTTCACGTATATATGAGGTAAAGGGTTAAAGAACCCAAAGAGCTAGAGCTAAGATATTTAGCATGAAACATGTTCTAATGGGTGTCTACCAAATTTGTTCAAATAAGAGCCCTGGGGTCAAAATTGGCCCTGTCCCGAGGGTCATTGATTTTCCTTATATGTGTAAAGCAAAAACTTAAAAAATCTTCTTTGAAAAAAAATCCAAATAGCTAGAGTTTAGATACTAAGCATGAAACATCTTCTAGTGAGTGTCTACAAAGTTTGTTCAAATAAAAGCCCTGGGGTCAAAATTGGCTCCGCCCCGGGGGGTCATTGATTTTATTTATGTGTATAGCAAAAACTTAAAAAATCTTCTTTGAAAAAACCCAAATACCTAAAGTTTAGATATTTAATTTGAAATATCTTCTAGCGAGTGTCTACAAAGTATGTTCAAATAAAAGCCCTAAGGTCAAAATTGGCTCCGCCTAGGGGGTCATTGATTTTCCTTATATGTGTATAGCAAAAACTTAAAAAATCTTGTTTTGAAAAAACCCAAATAGCTAGAGTTTAGATATTAAGCATGAAACATCTTCTAGTGAGTGTCTACAAAGTTCGTTCAAATAAAAGCCCTGGGGTCAAAATTGGCTCCGCCCCAGGGGTGTCATTGCTTTTAACTATATGTGTATAGTAAAAACTTATAAGATCTTCTTTTAAAAAAACTCAATGAGCTAGACCTTAGATGTTTAACATGAAACATCTTCTAATGGGTGTCTACCAAGTTTGTTCAAATAAAAGCCCTGGGGTTTAAACTGGCCCCGCTCTGGGGGCCTATATAAAGGTGAGCGACTTCAGGGCCATCATGGCCCTCTTGTTATTAATCCTTGTGTGTCAATGTATGTATATGATATTTCAGAGTTGTAAACTTGGATAATTTTGATGAGAGTGGAACTGCTATCAAAGATGAGCCACCTTCTGTATCATCAAGTGATGCAGACGACAGTATGCATGATCCGCCATCTATAACAGTAGCAGATATAATGTCGCCAACATCACTGCCAAGTAAAGCTAAGAAAAAGTAGGTAATATATTGTAGAATACAAATACATGTTATTAACATCCGCACAACAAAGTTGTAAAGGGGGTAAACTGGAATCAGCTTGGCCGTCTCCCTGTCCGTCAGTTTTTCCTTGTCTGCCCAATAAATTAAGAATCCTTTGACCCACAGTCTTCATATTTGGTATGGAGGTATGTCAAGATTATTAGATGACCCCTATTGATTTTGAGGTCACTAGGTCAAGAACAGAAGGGCCTTGACTAAAAAAAAGCTTGTTTGCCAATAACTTAAGAATCCTTTGACCCACAGTCTTCATATTTGGTATTGAGGTTAGTCTCGACTATAAGATGACCCCTATTGATTTTTAGGTGACTGTGTCAATGTCACAGGGGCTTTTACCACAATAAGCTTGTCTGCACAAATGCTTAAGAATGCCTGTCAACAGTGTATCGATTTTGACATTTTCTCATTTGAAGCATCTTATATTCATCATAAAACACCCATGAATGGCGAGGATGTTCAAGTCATGCAGTGGCAGTTTCAGTTTCGAGGTCAATAGGTCAAAGGTATAGGTCTCTTTTCTTTGCCACTAAAAACATGTAGAATACATAACTTGGCAATGCACTGGCTTACTACCCTCAGATTTGGTAGGGAGGTTGTCCTTGAGCTCTAAATGACCACTGTTGATTCTGACAAAGTGGTATCCGGGGGGTATTCACGCCATGACAGTGGCAGTTCTAGTAATGATAATGAGTACCGGTAAATTTAACAATTATGTCAGTTTAAGAGCACTATATACACTGATATGACAAGGTAACTGATGTATTTTTTTTCTAAAAGTTAATGTTCATGTATGACTCATTATGTTTTGGTATTTATAACAAACCATGGCATTTTAAAAGTTGCATATGTATTTGCACAATATGCCCCACTATCAAAGTTGAGCTAATAATTAATACTTTATCTTGCAACAATACTTATAATTTATTCTTTTCTTCAATTATTATTTCAGAAAAAAGTGATGTGGAATGAAAAATATGAGAACCATACAGAGATCTAATCTTAAGAGTAAGCACTGTGAGAGAATGTATTGGTGTCTACACATGAATGTACTGTTATACTTCATGACTATACTGTAGTGTTAACAGTGTGATGAATTGCTCAAGACTAAAATTGCCTTGATTGTGAAGTATATAGTGTGTCTGTTAAGACATAGACATCAAAGCTACTTGTACTTCGAGATAGTTATATCGGTAAATCATAGTGACAGTACTGCAAAAAAAAATATAACTTGATAGGTACATTTAGTTACAGAAGTAGCAAGGAAAGAAACCTGATTTCCAAGTGTTTTCAAAAGGTTGCATCCCTCTAACAAAAAGTTTGACACTATTTTACATGTGTTATAACCAGCTACACCGCTTTTTGTTTTGTTATTGAAACACTATGAAACATCATGTTTATTTGGTTTAAACATTTTTATTCAACATAACATTTAACATGTGAACAATATTTATAAAAAAACATTTTGGGATTGGGCAGAAAACTATAACTATCCAATGTTAATTTGTATGTGTCCCTGGTAGCTAATACAATATCATATATAACGTTGTTAATGAGGGAGATAGCATTATCATCTTACAATATAATGATGAATGTTGATGAATATATTAATAACTCGCTTTTCACTGGTTATGTTAACCAAGCCGTTTCCATACCCACCTTTTCAAAATCCAGGTAGATCTTATAGGACCATATTTATAATGTTCTACTGTAATATGTTGGAATCTAAATGGTGTACAATTTTTATATTTTGAAAGACTTTCTAATGAGAATTCTTAGGTTCTTCCAATATTATCTTCATTTTAGATTTCAAGGAAATTAGTGTTATAAAAGTGACAAACAGCACAACATGACTATTAAATGTTATGAAAGAACTTCAAGTATCAATATATGATAACTTTTTCTTGAGGTTAATTCTGTGAATTATAACCCTGTTTTCTGAATATTTTTATTTTAAATAACAAGAACTATGTGCAATAAATATAAACAAGTAAGAAATTGAGTTGATTTATGATTTCTTTCTCAGTCTTTCTGATGATAGACTTGTTGATTCAATCCACAGTTTCAGTTCCGGTAGAATTTCTGGTTTTTCAACACTATAGCCTAGTTTCTCTATGATTTGTTCCGGTTTGAGTCCTATAACAGTCTGCTTTATTAAAGAAATGAAACATATAAATCCATCTGTGTCCCTTACAAATGTATGCTCCACATAAAATGCTGAATCATCCCAGAAAATTACCTGAAAAAGAAGTAATTGTTTAGTATCTCTTCATTCAATATTTAGTTATATTTTGCTGTTAAAAGTAGCAAGTTATTTTTTGTTAATTGAAATTTTCTGAAATATATAAAGCCACAAACTTTAATTTAAGTCTGTGTTAAAACATGCCATATATTTTGACATTTTATGTAAAAAATAAGTATACTGTGCTCCTATTAGTTCATGGTACTTAATGCTTTGAAACCAGAAAGAAAACAACAAATTAAACTTATGGTACAAAAATTGTCATAAGCTATAACATATAGGTAATTTCTACTGCATGACACAAGGAAACAACAATATATTCAGTCAAAGTCAGTTTTAATGTACCAGATGCAGACCATATGTCGGCCATTTTGAAAACAGTGTCATCATTTAAATCACTGTAATAGTGTAACATTTCAGTTTTTTCATGTTTCAGTAAAAAATTTCTACATGTTATTTTGCTTAATTTTCAATATTAAAACCATCCTTTATTTGTAACTGAAAATTTATTTTTTCAACAAACAAGAACATTTAGAAAATCATGATTGTTTCAGACGTATACACACAAATTTAATGCACTATAGTTTAAATTGCTTTTTGCAGAAATTTGTAAAATTTTGTTCTGTTTTGTGTAAAAATCTAGAGATTTAAAAAGTTTGCACAAAAAATGTGTTGTTTAGGTGTATGAATATAATATGTCAATTTTTTAGCAATTCTAACACTGGTCACATGAAAATATGCCATTACCATGAAATTAGTGATGACGCGGAATTAGTGATGTTGAGTATACATTTTCATAACTATGTAGCTGCTTTCTGTTAAAGTTTCAACCATTTCACTCCAAACCTTGCGATTTTATGGTCATTTTGTATGGATCATTTTTGACTTTGTTCTAGTTTTCAAAATGATAATGAATACTAACATAAACTACTTGCCTTAGTATTGATTGTAAATTTAGTGAACAGAGTTATTGCCCTTCTATAGCGATTACAGCTCCCTCCTAGTGTCATAGATCCACCAAGTTTGAACAGTAATGCCCACACTTTAGTCTCCTTCCAAAATTGTATTCTTGCTATATCACAATGTTTCAAGTAGTTTCCATTATTCATGTGCATGAATGGGTCAAGGTCAAACGGCCAGCACCTTCCTAGAATAAATAAAATAGTCTAAAGGTTTATGCAAGAGCAGTTTACACAAATACATACAATATAGTAGGGTATCTTTACATCAATTTTTTTTGCTACACTTAAACCGTTTCAAGGCACATTATGCCTCAGAACACATTTTTTTTAATTGTTTTACTTTTGTTTTACAAAATAGTTGTGCAAGCAACATGTACCAAACGAAGCAGTAAAATAGTGTAGCGTGTTAATACATATATCTGGTTTTCAGTCATTTCCAACAAAAAAAGTTATAAACAAAAACATGTTTTTTGTTACAAGATGGCGGCGTTTGTTTAAATTTTGTAGGATACGACGCAGTTTTGATTCCCAGCCCTGGCTATGGTCACAGGAGCTTGAAATTCTATCAATAATTGCCCTAAAGTCAAATTCCCCCAAAAATCCATACCTATACAGTGAAACCCCTCAATTAAGACCACCCATGGGACTGCTCTAAAGTGGTCTTAATTGCGGGGTGGTCTGATTAGTGAGTTTTAGCATGATAGCCTGGTTATTTGTTTGAATTCTTTCCTTACTGTAGATCTACAAGGTAAATATACTTCCTGTCCCATTTGAGGGAAATACTTCAGGATTTGATAAAGTAAATAAAATTTTACATAACTTTATTGCAATAAATCAATCATTTGTCATAAATTAATGTGCATGTATATAATTTTTTTATATATAGGTATGGATTTTGGGGGGGAATTTGACTTTAGGGCAATTATTGATAGAATTTCAAGCTCCTGTGCTACTGTATGGTCCAGCAAGTTTCATCAGTATTGAAGCATTTTTCATAGCAGTTTGAACTTGTAACAGGAGGCTTTTCAATGAAAACGGCCATTTTTCAACATATGCTCATGGGGTAAAAGGTTAAGAAATAAAAATGATAGCATTTTTAGGCATAATGGGCCTTTAAACAACTTTAAGGAAAGAAATTTAGTACTATTAAAATTTAGTAGTATTTGATCTCGGTTTCAAATAGAAGCGTTTACAATACAAAGACTAAAATTTTGTCCACTTACTTGCGAGTGTTCCCGTGTCGTTGATCGATTTGGAAGCATTTCTCTTTAAAATTATTACCAAAATCATCCTCAAAATGTGAATTATATCTAAACAGACTGTTAGAATAATAAGGAAAATCAATAAATAAATGAAAAATATCATTTTGATCGTGGTCAAATAGACGCAAACAATAATATTATAGCATGGTTTTAGGACACTAATTTAATTACACTTCGGATAGAACACCACTAAATATTTCTATGATTTAAACTTCAGTTTCCTGTGGTAATATATCAAATAATATCTAGAATATGACCTTTGTCACCATTTGCTACACAATTCATACTCCTAGTGAACATCTAAAATGGTCATATTTGCTAAATGTATACATCAAGGAATCAATTTCATTTAAGAGTTCGATGTTTTAAGAGCATGATTCTTAATAGTCCAACTAATTAGACTTGTCGAAGATAATTTTGGATGGGCGCTGTCTTTTTCCAACAGTTTGACAGTAAGAGAAAAAAGTCTGTAAAACGAATTAATTTGGCTAGATTCTTTAAAGACTATTATGAAAGGTGCCCATTAATTATCAGTTTCATTCTTTTGATTAAAGCAACATTCATACTAGTTCTGGCTTCCATAACTGTGTATGTCCCTTTTATTTTGCCATTTGCAACAGTTCTAGAAGTACTACAAAACCTGTTGTCTGAAGTCTCTTTAGCTACATTAATTTTCATTAGACTTGCCAAAGGGACATCAATTATCATTTTAGACGGACAGTAGGAAAAATGTATTTAATATGGGTGGAACCCCAGGTGCACAACTTCACATGATGAGCAACATTTCTGTAAAGTTTCATGACTCTTGGTTAAATACTTTTTGAGCTATGTGATGATAATGTGCGATTGCAAATTTTTACTAAGTCAAGGTCAATAACTCTACAAATACTGAATAAATCCAAACGCAAACACCCAGGTGCGTACCTACACATGCTGACTAACATGTGCGTAAAGTTTCATGTCTCTAGGTCAAATTTTGAGCTATGTGCGACCATCATGAGAATGGACGGACGGAAATGCCCCCCCCCCCCCCCCCACAGTGGTGGAATAAATGTGAACTCTCCCACTTTAAGCAGGAGACTCCCACTTTCTGCAGCCATAAGGTTTTTCTTAAAAATAAGGTGTATTTACGCAAATTAAAGAAATCTCCCTCTTTTTGATGCCAGGACTTTCTTCTTTGTTTACTGCAAATTCTAAAATCTCCCTTTTTTTTGTTAAGAAAAATCTCCCACTTGATCATCAAAAAAAGTTCACATGTATGCGGGGGGAACAATAAAATCAATGATTGGAAGGTTTTACTCACATACTGATTAATAATTGGTAATCCCATCCAAATTGATAATCAAACATTACTTTAATCAACAATATTTCTCTCTTAGTACATCAAATATTAACGGTTGTAAGTTTTCAGTATTGCACTGTTAAACATTACTCTTAAAATTTTTACATATCTACAAGACAACTTAGTTTATGCCACAAGCTAATACTTGTTATGGTACACCGCAAGTCAGTTTTATTACACAGAAATAAAACATGCAGTCTGAAAGTACAGAATTTTTGAGGACATTCTTAGCAAAATGTGAAATGACAATTTATAGACAGGTCAACAAATTATTCTACTGATGAAACTTCAAACTTTTTATCATCCTATTATAAAACTATGTAGAAAATAAAGTGATTCAATGAGAATTCCACCAATTTATAAAGCGTCACTTCTTTTCAATAGATTTAATTTCTAAGACTTTGTCAACTTATGTAAATGAATCAATAAACAACAAAATATCACAGAAATTCATTTATTCTTGAACACATTCTTAATATGAATAACTTATGATATAAAATAAGTATTAAAGAATTACTGAAAAAATGAGCGAAATGAAATACAATATCCTGCAATTAAAAATGATTTCACAATTTAACTGTCATTTAGTAATTTTACTGATATTCAAATAAATATAAAACACATCTCCGCAGGTTTTAATTAAAATCTTAAGCAAAGGTCATAGTTCTGAATTTTATATTGAAATAGGTCATAAACTTGTTAACTCAGGTTATAGGCAGCTACACTGAATGAACTCGAAGCTTGCTTCCATTTACATTGTCCATGAAACCAAATCATTGGTAACAATATTTCCTTCTTACATCATTACTTTGTCAATAAATATTATATTGTTGTTACATTCTAAGTATCAATTGTATAATATACAACTTCTTTTCTATTTTCACCAATCATCTTCATCACTACTGTCATCAAACTGGGTATCTTTGACTGTTTTGTTTGTTTTAACAAAACCAAAAACACTTGTATCTCTTTTCTCTGAAGCAATTTTGGGCGGAGTCACCAGATCCCCCGAATAATTAATGACATTAGCACGACCCAAGCGCCATTCCAACATCTCTGTGGGGAATTCGTCTTTTCCACCAAGATCATCAAACCCAACGATGTAATCCTGTGTCTTACCCTCAATTGCCATACAAATTGTTGGCAGAACTACAATTCTCAATCTATCAACTAAAAATTTACATTTTTCTGCATCTATTTTGATGAATTTGGTTTCTAGATGTTTTGGTGCTAAAATTTCTAAATGTTTGTCTACAATCTTACAACGGAAGGTACTGTCTCTATAGAAATGGCAGACAACTTTTTTGCTTTTTTTACATGCGTCAAAAAAACTCTTTCTCATCCGCAACTTCAGAGTATTTACCATGTCCCTGACTCATCCATTCTTGTTTCTGTTGCTGACTTTTTTTCAAAGCATCCATACGTTTTTGTCTCAACACTTCGAAGTCATCCTCATCAAATTTATCAAGTCTTTCAATTTCAGCATCAAGCTGCTGTTCCACAACCTGTGTCGCCTTGAGGAGTTGTCCCTCCAAGGCATTCTGCATACCAGCTGGATTCATTTTCCGTATTTGTTAGTTATATACCTGAAATAAACAATAAATCCATTATTTAGTTATATCAAAAATGTTTCTGATTATAATCTTTGAAATAATGATAATTATGTACATAGCTTTCTAGTTTTAAAATGATTCAAAACTTCAAAGTCTTTCCTACAATTTAGAACATAGGTTTGATATTTAACAAGAGCCACAGCCAGGCAATGACAATGCTCTACTTTTTTTTCTTTTTCTAAAAGCAAACAAATAAACAGTTTAAACAAATCTTAAAAAAAAAAAATAAGTCTTTCATTTTTTCAATTTTAATAGGTCTGTCTCTAGTGACACTTGTTGTTTTGTCCAAGTATGAATCCTTTCCATAAATAAATGGTCAAAGTCATTTAAAGTCTAAGACTTTTTATACAGTTGCACTGACCTGGACCTTGTCCAAAAGGTTGTTTTGTCAAAGTATGACGATAATCCATTCTTTAATTACCAAGTTACAGTCAATTATTGCAAAAATCATAGAAAATCAATCAATTTAACTGTAGTAAAGTAGTAAAGACAAAAGAAACTCTACATGACTCTCCCTACCCCTAAGTGGTTGAGGCATAAAAACCACATCCAGTTTTTCCAAAGTTCATTTGACTTCTTGATTTTTTCCCAATATTGAGCTATAAGAATTTCAAAAATTGTCCCATTAAGAATACTGGGATTTGTAAGTGATACCACGGATTTATATTACAGGGATCGGACACTTTCGTTTAGCTAAAAGTCCCGTCGCGCGCATGCGCGGAATCGGATAAAGGTGGACACTGGACAGAATGAGATGGCGGAACGCGCGGAGTGCGAAATATAACATATTTTCACAAGAGTATGTGGTGTTATTGCAGCTTTGTGAAAAATTATACACATATGAATGTATTGATACAGTATTATTTTGTGTCGCTAAAGTATTTATATAAGAAAATATGCTGATAGAACGCTGCAACGCTTAGTTAAAAAGTACCTAATTTAAAAAATATTTGCCTATTGTTTAGGCATTCTCTCTACATTTTGACGCCCTTTTACTTCAAGCATGAATTATAACCGCAATTCAGATTAAGATAATTATTTTTTACATAGTTTAATGGTGGCATTGCAAAAAATTGTTTCTTGATTGCTAAAATATTTTTAAAGAAATTCATGTTTGAAATGTGTCTTTATTTTTGTGAATTATTTCCAAATGATTTGTACATTTTTTGTTTGATTACCTGTATATTAGTATAAATATAGTAAATACTCTACTAATTAGTGTATTAAATATATTTTCAAATCATTCTAGACAAGCGTTCATATATAGATGAATTCATTAGATTGGCAAGGAAGAAATTTTTATTGGCATACAGAACAGCTGTTTTATAATATTATTTTTTTTATTTTGAAACAGATTTTTTTCATAGTTATCCTTCACAATTGACGTCAAATGATTTATTTGTCATATGTTTATTTTCATTATTTTTCAAAGAAAGGACTATACAAATTATGTTGTTTATTTTCAATTTCATTTATAAATGTTGATAAAGAAAATAGATTTACATTGTATTTATATATATATCCTCTTCAGAATCATTTTCTTATCACATGTGAGACCGCGCAGATACAAAATATACATTCAAATTCTATTTGTTTTTGAAGATTGAGTGTTGCAATTATCACATGTAACCTGGTAATGAAAGTTTGAAAATAAACTTTTTCAATTATCGCTTGTTACTTCGTAATTACCCCCTTCAAAAGTAATTGAACTTGAAAGAAATTTAAGCGATGTGTAAAAAATAATCAAAAGTTACTTTTATTTCGCAAAATACTGACTCAAACTGTAAGATTTTTATTGTTTTTCTAGCGTTACATTAAAAAGTTTCAGATATATCTTTCTACAGGCATTCAAATAAAAAGAATAATTAAAATATACGGATTAAAATATACGAGTGACATTAAAAAGGCCGGAATCAAGACAGCCACACGAGAGTACTTTACTGTTACGATGATTGTCTACTTCACTGCACCGACATTTGAAAACAGATTAAATATATATTAATAAATATAATTGATGAATGAAATTTGAATATTCTATGAATATGGCAATATTGACAATCTCGGCAATATTTTGTACTAAAAAAATGAATAATTTTTCTTCACGTGTTGAGCGAATTGTAAAGGCCGCAATACATTACCCGTAAAACAATTGTGCGTTAATAAATTTGACTACATAACCCAATAAATCTTAAATATCGCATCTTTGATCATCTGTGAATAACTAACATCGGCTTCTTTTTTATTTTGAAATTGAAATTATCATCGTACCGTTATAAAATAAATTTCAAATACCTGCTTTTTATATAAAAAACGTAAATTTACCGCGGATTTCGTCAAGTTAATTTTTTAATCGTCGTTGCGGACAGATAAACTGTACCTTTAAAAAATAAATTAGATATTTGAATTAAACAAGTATTTTTCTTCAAAATAAACTTTAAATTTCCAAAATCGGATAATAAATGGAAAAGCTGTATGACATTTTGTAAAGTAGGTATCCGTTGCGAACGGGCATTTACGCTTAGCGCCGGTAAATTAACGATCGATGTACCTTTATCGGGTGCACGACAAGATATTTAAGCATTTATATAGGGTTAACTGGGAGTGTCCGATCCTTGTAATATAAATCCGTGGTGATACATGTAGAGTGGGTGGACCAACGCTCGGCGTAAAAATACTATATTTGATATGGCAAATTCAAATCAACGTCAACAAACCTCAATGTTATATGTCCATTTTCAAGACCAATGATATTGTTTTAAATAGCCATTGTGTAAAATTCGCTAATCACATAATGATGTGCATGGCTGGAGCTATAGAAAGTCCGGATAAACAAGAGTGGTTTGCGTGAAATTGTACCATAGCTCAGCGTACAATACTACATTATGCAGGATTGTTTTTCGAATAAAATCTCTTTTTTATCTTATGAAGAAAACATATTGAATAAATTGTAACAACCAAATTAGGTTCATACATTTACAAGTACCCAACTTTTAGTTTTAATTTTACAGCCCCAGAACTCTAGTGTTAAAAGATTTTAATAATTTATATGTTGGGATTACATACGGTTATTCGTCTGCTATTAGCATTGTCACGTGACTTTACCAGCAGTGAACCACACCAGGATAAAATGGTGAAAGATGTAAATAAAAGCACCAGTGACCTAAATCGGAGATAATTCGAGACATTTTCAGATATTCTAAAAAAAATATTTTTTACGCCGAGCATTGGTATGCACCGAGCATTGGTCCAACCACTCTAGATCTGGCTAAATTCTAATCAAATTCAAAACAATGTCATTAACTGATTAAGATTAATCACAGAAATAACACATTATCACTGATTATTATCAAACACAAGTTTGACCTGGTTATCTAAAGTTTACTTAGCTGCTTGTCAGTTTTTTGTGTATGACACAAAAATACTTAGCTATACTAACAAATTATGTTCAATAGAAGGAATTTAACTTCTAGTTCTACTGTTCTAGAAAATTCTTGAACTGTCAAATTATTGATTTAGTCATTCACCGAAATAAACTGGTTTCACGCTAATAAGGGAAAAGTAAGTTTCTTTACCTTATTCGATAGTTTCACTTCAAATATCCTATGAAATACTGGTCAAATGAAGTCAGGTTGTCAAAATAAAACGAAAAACATGCACAGAGATGTTTACGAGCAAGATAGTTCACGTTGTCATGCAAACTGAATTTCGATTGGGTAACAATAAGAAAATAGACCAATCAAATTAAGTTTAACAAATAAGTTTGACTTGTCTCCCATTGTTCGCGGCGTTTGTCTCCCTTGGCAGATTAAGGCCTGTGTAGTAGCAGTACTGTAAACTTCAATTAAAAATATATCCCAATACTTTTTATAGGGAACTGGACTTTACAGGAACTAGGGTCCTGCTCGCCATCTATTTTCTTTCTACTGAGAAAAATAACCAATCCTCTATTATACCTCCCTGTCCCCACCTATATAGGGCGTACACTGAATATCAAACTATTTTTGTGATTTATCGATATATTGATAAATAATGTAATAAGTTAACACTGGAACATACGCAGGTTAACACTATATACCATATTATCTTATTCTATGTCTCTGGCTTCATGTTGACAGAAACTTTATATAAATACGAAAATTATTGTAATAATTGCGTGCAAAAATGAGCAACAAAGTAATAAAATTAAATACTTATCCTTTAATAATTTCTATAATCAAATTTCTAAATGGCATTAGATTCTAAAAAAAAACAACAAACCTGCGAAAAACATGCTTCTTGTATTAAGATTGTATACTATATTTTAATGTCATTAAAATTCACAAACAAAAGGTCAAACCAACCGTTACATGTATTTTTCACACTTTCGCGCGTCAGATTTATTCTAAAATCTCCCAGTAACTAAAAAGATCAATATATCATGAAATGACAAGAACTGCTCTGTCAGGTCGATAAAAAAGTGATCAAGGTAAGCTGGAACATTTAAACGTATATAAAAACACAAAATTAGTATATTCAGTCATTTACGAACTTGCCATTAAAGAGAACAACAGTACAATAAATCTAATACTTCAACATGGATTCATCACATACAACCCTACCATTGATGGACGCTGCTGGAAATGAGGATTTGTTCGCCAATAAAGCCTATGATTACGATTATGAAGGTACGTAATTTTTTTTATAGCGTCTATATAATTAAAATAATTTTTCGATATGATTTCTTTTGAATAAGTTTAGAATGGACATACACATTTAAATGCATTTCTTACGTGTTTTTCTTCGATATTTAGTTAACGAATTTACACGGAATATTATTTTAAGTATTATTTTAAATAAGTGGTTTCAATCTCCTCTTTTTCAGATTCCTCGTCGGGCTATGAATCTACAGATATGGAGTCAGTCAGTTCTTGGGGATCACGTGACAGCCTTGACAGTAGATTACACGACAGTCATAATAACTTCTTACCAATGAACAAAGATGAAGAAATTATGAATTTTAGAAGCACACATCCGCTCTCAGAACACCTGAAACTAATTTTAGCAATGCCCGAGATGTGCGACGTCACGTTTGTTGTTGGACCACGTGAAGTACCAGTGCACGGAGTTCGCGCAATCATGGGTACACGAAGCAGGTAATTTCATTTATGTCGCCTTCTAGGGGGAAAACTGTTTCCCCCTTCCTTTTGGTATAGGAAGGAGTTTTTTTTTTACGAAAATGGCATTCTAAAAACAATATTAAACTACATGTAGCTAAATAATTAAATTGTAAGAAAACTCTAATTGAAATTTCAATGTTAACACATGAGCATTAAATGATTATGGAGAACTAGTACATGTACATGTTTAACCACTAAGTACCATTTTCTTTTTCCCCCTTTATATTTATACTTTTTGGTATGGGGTGAACTCATTTTGGCAGCCGTTAATCTAATATTAAAAAGTAATTTAAAATGAACGGCTTGGAGCTCGTCTTGAATGATTAATCTAATGTATCCCATATACTATTTCAGGGGTTATGTATCAAACTGATATTAAAGCATATGTCTATGGAAGCTGCTGACAAAGAAAGGAAACGCCAAAAGTAACAAGAAGTCAAAGAAAAGCACGTGCAAGGCAGTTGGAATAGGTCGGTCATTATCACAAAGACTTGTTATCCTTGTCAAGAAATACGATTCTGAGGTGTTCCGAATGTTGGTCCAGTTTATTCACTGTGGAATTGTGAATATCACCGAGGAAACAGTTGCTGGTAAATATCTATCTGATACTGATACTTGAATACCAATTGAAATAAATAAATATTGAATAAATAATTGAAATAACAATACTTATACTTGTAATTGCAAAAGTAAAGGGTCAATTGCCATGATAAGTTTGTACCGTTTGCAAAAAAGCTGCAACTTTACTGAAATACTTCAGATATTTGCATTTGTAATAACATTAATGTTTTTATGAATTTCAGGTTTATTTTGTGCTGCCTCCCATTTTGAGCTACCAGATCTGAGCAAAGCTTGTTTAGATTTTGTTGAGAGATGTATCAAGGTCGGTAGAGCTGAGAAACTGCTCTTTTCTACAAGATGTTACAGCCAGCATAAAGCTTCCAAAACATTATTTGATAGGGTAAGTTCACACTTTAATAAATTTTAAACGGTTCTTGTGTGATTAGTCGATTTTTTGTTTTAAAAGATCTTTTTTTTTTTTCGTTTTACATTTATAATTACATAACACTTCACTTCAATAAAATTCAAATAAAACATGTCTTTGTGTTTTAACGTTTCCATCATTGTCAATCTGGTGTGCTTATTATTCTTTATTTTATATTCCAGATTTATTCAGTGTTGGACAAACGATGTATCGCCAAACTTGACGTAACTCCAGTTTAATCTCGGACCTGGTTACAGCAATACAAAGTGATTAGTTTTGAAAATGTGCTAAATTGATTATTAATTGAATTATTGATTGTTATATTTTTTGTTAGTGTATATATTTTTGTTATGGTTTGTTATTGTGAAATAAAAATTCTAAAACAAACATTGACTTTTTTCTTTTGTATAGTGGCTTGTCGAATCCGTTTATTGTATTGTAATATATAGGGACCCAAGACAATAAAGTGTTTTTTTTTCAACACATTATATTCGTTAAAACTTGATCAAATGTAGCAAGTCTCAGATTCAGCGCTCACTGAACAAATACATATAAACCATAACAAAAAAATGGTATCTATTCACGACCATTTTATTGAATTGACCAGTTTCAACACCCGCCCTTTACCCACTTTACTTGTCAAAAGCACAGGCACGAGTATCGGACCTGGGAAGAAAAAATATGACCAGATTGATAAAAAAAAAACTGTGTTCATCTTAAAAGTGTAAAAAAAAAAAATGTAAATAATGGCCCCCTTTAAAAATATACTATAAGTTAACTTATTATTTACATTTTTTTTTTTTACACTTTTAAGATGAACACAGGTTTTTTTTTATCAATCTGGTCATATTTTTTTTCCCAGGTCCGATACTCGTGCCTGTGGTCAAAAGTCAACTTTCGATGCACGTGACAAAGAAAAGTAGAAAGAATGAAATCTGGCAAACTTGATACTAAACTATTATCCGTGCAAATCATTACTAGTTATATTTCTTTGAAAAAATTAATGAAAAAAAAGAAGGCACTTCTATGGAGTACATAATGCTGTCTGCGTTATTGTCAGAGAAATTCAAAATGAAATAGACAAATGGCGTCTTTATACGTCATAATAATAATATAATTATATCTTTATTTCCTCCACATTCCATCGTCGGATACCCACGGCCGAACCATGTAACATGTTAAATCAATCGTGGGTATCCGACGATGCCACATTCATGCCTCCTCGAACTAGATATGAACTTATGGTGTTTCCAGCTTGATGAAATATGCGACGAGACCCTAAACAAGCTGATTCTCGTGAATTCTGCTTAAGCCGGTGCTAGGGGCGTAGCCAGTAACTTGTCCTTGCCCCTGCCGTCCATAAATCAGCTCAGTCAAACAGAGCCCTTTTAATTTTACCGTTTTTAGTGAGTCTGTTACTTTTAGTCTATATTTTATTGAGAATTGATATTACTTAGGTTTTCAAATGGATGTTTTACATGCAATCTGATATTGATGAATTAAGTGTTATTTACATTTTTCTACTTTTAAGACATACTTTCAAACTTCAAAAGCTCGCAACCGAGACTTATGCGAGCTAAGCAGTCTACAACATTTTCAATTTTGCTGTGTTGGGCTTTCTTTAGGGATTCTGTTTTTCTCTATTGATGTTTAATAGGATTTTCTCATTCTTGCATTACTCCAGTTTCCAATTGGAACATCTCAGCTATTATCAATAATAACCTTACTCGAGGGTTTTTGTGGGAAAGGGCCGAGAAGATTGCTCCAGCTTCATGATGGACAGGGTACAAATAAAATGCAGTGTAATAGAACCATTAATAATTATACATTGTAAGCGTTATCAAATCAAAATAATAAAACATGCGAATAAATCATTTTTTTTTATCTTTATGGTAATAAGATCGACCTGTTGTAAAACAACATTATGTTTCATCAACAACATTTGAAAAACAAAAATATTGTAAATAAAACTAGTGGCATGGTTTAAGGGCTTGTGTAATTCTTCTCTTTAAAGAATCAATGAACAAGCCCAAGTATTTAAATGCATTAAAGCCAGTTTATATTCTACTGGAAGCAATATTTGTAATTTATTACTGAAATTAATATCAAAACATGTGGCAAGAACGTCTCACCTCTGAGGTATTATAGGGATAGGGAGTATTCTTAATTTTATCCTGAATAAATTTTATTTCAAAGCATCTACCATGTTTATAGTTTCAGAAAACCATACTGCAAAACAAATCTATAGCAAAAAACAATTATTTTACTTAATCTAAACACAACTAGCTACCCAAAAGCTGCCATTTTTCTTTCCATTTATACAAAGAAATAAAAAATAAAACTTTGTACAGCATGTGCAAAAGAAGATAAATATTATTGGTACAATATAGTCCCTGATGAAATTGGCAAAATGTGAAATTATGTCTACCGGTATTTGATCATTATTTCATTATGTTACAGTCAACATCAAGCTTCCAAAACATTATTTCATAGGGTAGGTTCACTTTTATGACATTTTTAAACGGTTCTTGGTGTGATTTTTAATCGAGTTTTTGTTTTAAAAGACTTTTGTTGCGTTTTACCTTT